CGGTTAATGTATACAATAAACCGATATGTATATGAATATATATTTTTATTAGCGGCTAATAAAGCTATTGATTAACTAATCGTTCTATTTGTAGTCCTTTTATACCATTATACCTCTTGTATCGTTTTTATACCAGTATAGCCGTCTCCAAACTACATTTTAATTATATGTGTTGTTCATCGTAAAAGTGAATTATCTCCTTGTGATTTACTTTTGAAATAACCAGCTTTTTGTGAATTAATGTGTAGGAAAACCAATACAAGTATTCATTCAGTGTTTTCTTTTTTTTATTTATTTTTTCATTTATTGGAGTCGCTTCTCTTTTACAATGAAAGATATGACTAAATGTGACTCTTAAAATATTCTAAAAAATATATGTTAAATAAATAATTAAAATATTTAATGTGTTTAAAATTCGTTATAATATTATGATTATTCTTAATAGACATAAAAAGAAAGATTAATGTAGGGAAATGTTACAAAACAAAATAATATTGATATTAACAGGTTGTTGTAATCGCCTTGTACTTACAATAGGTAGTCATTGGCAATGCTAGGGAGTGAATTGGGATGCAAACAACATAAATATCAGGCGTTTCGCACGTGAACAAAAAAAATATAACTGAATACTGAAAAATCATATTATTATGTGTAGTATTGAAAATTAAAAATTTGATTCCACCTAGTATTTTAATCGATTTAATTTTAATTTTTTTTTATTTTATGAAATCTCTTTTTATTTAGGTTAGGTCAGGTACAATTTTGTGAATAATTACAGTCTTGCTCAAAATTAGTAACCGTCCCTTTTCGTATTTTATGAAATACAATTTCTTAGAATTTAGATTATTTTTGTTTACTATGCGTTGATCATATTGTAAACACGATATAGGCAATTATGCGTTGTAAAAAAATGTTCAAACCATAACAAAAGCTATAACATTTTCATAACAGTTTTCCCATTGGTTTTTCTGCTATACAGTCAGTAAGCCCACACAATTACCAATTTACCGCGTTTATTGTACATACTTTATGCAAGCTGTTTGCTAATTAAACGAGTTCAACCGCTCGATGACAAATGACGACAAATTGTTAGACTGCCGAGGTTCCCCACATATATTTTAAAACACTACTACGAGTATTACTATGACGATAAACGTCGCAATAGGTTGTAACTTGTACCTATAATTGCCTTCAAATTATATTAAACGCATTTTTGCGCGTCATGACGATTACGGATAACGTTGTACGTTCAATTCTGTCCTAATTGAAGTTTCACGACAATAATAACTACTAGTATATCTATATACTGTACACAACTACACAGTCAATAATAATGTACTACCAAATTGGTAATCCGCTAAATGCATTGGTGCGCTCCAACGGGTTCGTGAGATCATTTTTGTTAAAATCGTTCAGGTCATAAACTCGTTTGTTAATATTATAATTTAATAGTACAGTATTAATTATAATTTACTCAATACACTAATTACAAATATATTTTATTGTAAACACGTACACACGTTAAGGTAGTGGGGAAAAAATCGTTGTCCATATAAACTTTAAACTACGTCAGGAAAAATGTATTTTTTATTTTTATAACACCTACTTAATAAAACAGATATGTTTTTATAAAATACAAAAAAAAACGTATTAGATGGTTGTGATTGTGATTGAAAGAATTATCTCCCGCGCGGTCGTTTGTAAACTTAAAATTCATTTTTCCTTTTTTTTCTCCAAAATTATCTCAAAATGATTAAGCTTATTTATAGGTTTGCGTTACATAAAATCGCATGTAATATTTGTATACAACTTTCACTTAATATTCCTTTAGAAAGAGAGAACAACTTTATTCTAAAGCAAATTTTTAGTGAACTGTCTGTGCATCCAAGTTAGTTACCATAAAACACAGTTTACCGGAAGGAAAAAAACTTTGCATTTTCGTTCTACTCTATTTAACATGTTAGGATAAAAATACTAAAATTACATAAACACAAATTATTGTTTACCTATTGAGGTACTATACTATAACTTACATGCTGTTGCGGTGCAGTGCACACCCACGACTGAACGCCTTCTTGGGCTAAACCCTAGCCGAGACAGAAAGCTACCCGTATCTACCTTAAAATATCCCTAGAGACTCTTTATACATTTATAAGACCGCCCGAAGAGCAAAAGGGCGGTCGTACCTTTAAATAAATTGACTAAATTCTCAATTCTCAAATTAAACGCCGAGTAAGAATTAACTTATCGATTAAAATATTAAAATGAATGGAAGCAATATATATATATATATAAAGGTTTTACATCTGTTACTAGGGTCCGTGGTAATCCGGAGATAAAGCAGGCGGAGTGACACGCACAAAAAATGATAAAAAAAAGAGCCGAATAATTAGGTAATTATTAAATAAGATATTAGCGCGTGGATGGTAAGATGTCAACTAATTAGTATTTAGGTGGATGCGAATGCTGTACGAGACGTGTAATTCCCTCTCCTCTTATTATAATATATTGTATGTATAACGCGCGCCCAGCCCAGGGTGCTGTCCTACATCACTTAGACTTCGTGGGTTTGGTTTGGAGTAACGATACCTACCAGCCATGCACAGTATTATTATTACTAATAATATGTCAGACAAAAAGGCCATCGTTACTATATCGTTGGCGTACCAAACTCCCCGAAAAGACTTCGAAATAATTATGAATAGGTAAAATGGTTACTTTTGCAATCATCAATTACGCCGAGACAAAGTTTACTTGTAGTGCTTTATTTGTGTGTCATAATAAAACAATTCATTGACTGTGCAGCGCGGCCCTATCAAGAACCGATTGCGTTGGGTTTGGTGTGTACGTGTGTAAAATGTGTCACACGGTAAGCGGCATACCAGCGCAACACATTCTGAAGAATTCACTATTGTATAAGTGCGTTACAATAGCATTATTATGACACTTGATTCTATCAACAACACTATTCACCCACCTATCGGCCACCCGTCTTTATGGGCTAAAAGTTCCCCACTTGCTGTACAGTTGGACGCCCCTGATTTTCACAGAAATATTGTTGTCGTTAGTTTATAATTTTTAAACAATTATTTTTGTTAACTATGAACTTTACACAAATGTTTAAAACAGTCCTTATTTACACAAAAATTAGTGTCCTTCATCATATGAAATAAAGAATAATAATTGGAATCTATTAAAATATTTACTTCAGGTGAGATTGAAAAGTTACTTGGTTATAATAACAGACAAGTTACTTTAAATTTTCTATTTATAAGAGGCAAAATTTCATACAAATATAGCCTATAACGCCAAGTCAAGTTAGATTCTAAACAATCATAACAAAGAAATAGGTCTCGTTATTAAAATATACAATATACGATTATATACAGAGTATATTTTATCGTGAACCACTTAATATCCCATAGGGTTTAATAAGAAATTAATTTTTTTTTTAATATTGTTTAATACAACGTGATCTCAATTTTTCATATTTTTTTTTTTGGTTTTCACCCCCCTTCCAACTCAGTTTTTTCGATAGCAACTTTTGGAAATTTAATGGTAACGTATATATTTGATTAACTTTTTAAATTAAGAATATTTTACTAAAACTTTTGACTGGTTGATAACCAGTTTTGTTCAACTATTTCTAAACTTTAAAGAGTTTAATAGTTCGGATGGGAGAGGAAGTGCGGTTGGGAAGTGCACGCAGATAAAAATAATACTATGATCCACCTTTTATCTTGCCCTGAACATGAAACTTCAATAACATTAAAAATAGTTATCCAAAACTGATTATCGACCAGTTAAAATTGTTAGTACATTATTCACCATTTAAAAAGTTAATGAAATGTATGCGTTACCATTTAAGTTTTAAAAATTGCTGTCAAAAAAATAAGTTGAGAGGGGGGTAAAAACAAAAAAATAATTGAAAAATTAAGATCACATTGCATAATAACATTATGAAAAAAAAAATTTAATACGAATTGAATTATTGGCTCTAGAACAACCTAACCTAACGCGTTAGGTAATCGCTAGACGATAGCCATTTACGAACCATTGATTTCAAAGTATGCAAATAAGCCGTGCTGTACACAAAAACGGCGACCGATTTTTTGCGGAATTTCCGCCATCAACAGAGGTACCCTCGTCGTAGTTCACGAACAGATAGATGGTGAACTATCGCTGGGTACCTCTGTTGACGGCGGGAATCCCGCATAAAATCGGTCGCCGATATGTGCATAGTACCGCTTATCTGTATATTCTAATATCGATGTTAGAAGATAAAATGATGTAGTACTCGAATTATAGATTCTGGGATAGATAATTTTAATAATAAACAATTAATGTTAAATCGTTTAATAATAATTTAATTATAAAGCTATAATAAAATTAATTATCATTTTTAATTATCATTTAATAATAATTTTCACCGTAGGCAGATCTGACATGCCAAATAGTCGTGACTTTTTTTACCAATCACATTTATAAGTCATAACCATGCCGTTGGTGTAAAGCTCTATTTAAGAACCACGCAGTGACGCGTTGAACTCTCGTTGCTTACGAGGCTAGTTTCAGTTATAATTTTCATCATCCATTGCTATACTTGGTAGAAAACGATTTTTCCCCAGGTTTTTCCCCCGTTTTCCCATAGAAGTCCCTGACCGCTATAAATGAATACAAATCCCACTGGTATTTACAGACTTTAACGGTGGAGACGGAGACCGTGGAATCTAAAAGGCCACGGCCCTCGGCCTCTCGTAAGCCCGCTACAACAAGCCACTGGATCTACGCGCATGTCGAACGTCGACGCGCGCCGTGACGCAGAAACTAAAAATGAAATGATGTCGCCGACAGGTTCGAAGAGCGTAGGCATACGTCGGGTTATCCGGTTATCGTTATCGCGGTGGTGGGCACGCGGCGATACCGCGGACTGCGTCCTCGACCGACCGAGCGGTGGTGTACCATAATATTATTATTATATAGCGCGCGCGTTGTGCGGCCGCTATAGTGACACCGCAGACGCCAGACAGGCCGCACGTATCGCCGCCCGACGACATGCCGCCGTACGCGAACCTCGCCCGCTTAATCGCCGCATCATTATTGCTAGTATGCACGTGGCTGGTCGCGGCCACCGACGCTTTGGCTGCCCGACAGAGTACCGCCATAAAATTCCAGGATTTCCCGACGGACGCCGAGCAAATGGACCGACCTTGCTGCGGCGGATCAGCCGCTATGGGCAACCGTGACGTCAGCCGAGGGGCACGAGAGGTATTTTGAATAATTGTTTGTTTATATTTTTTTCAGATATTATGATATTTTTGTATAGACGACGCAGTTAAAAGTTAAATCGCATTAATAAATGGTCCATTGCGATATCTTCTACAATAACAATGATAGAACAATTTTTTTCATTACAACAAATCGGTGTGATCGATAATTGTTGTTCATTTCTTTGGTAGTCTCTTAATGTTAATATTTATTATAGACATTTCAAAATTATATCATTATTTTCCCAATGTCAAGTGTTTTTTTTATTAAGTAATTTTTCATTTTTAGCTTGGTATTGTATCTTTTAAATCATAACATCAACCTATTTCGCGTGATTTTTTGTTAATATTTTAAATTTGCCACTGTCAAGTTGAGATTTAATATACCTGTCATCTCAATTCCGGGGAGGTCTAATAGAAACTTATTTTTTAGGTAAATATATATTTTTTATCAACACATTCAAATTGTCATTTTATTTGCAACCCTTTAATGAGACTTTTGTTAAAAATCGAATTTATCGTAATATTATTTAAACTTAGTTTCCCTACTATTCATCAAAAGTTGAAACTACATTTTGAAAACACAGTTAATGTATAAAAATCATCTTGTTTTCAACTTAAAATTTAAACACCTTACCTTAGTTATAGAAAATATATTATAACGTATTTGCTGTTTAAAAAAAAAATGTTGTCGATTTCCGATGACGTAAAAGATATAAATTAATTATAACTTATAAATAGGTAATTGACGGAAAAAAAAGAATCTGACTTAACGTGTTTCATTTCTAAACCAAGAAAAGAATCGTTACATTCGTATTATTTTTATTACCATCAGTACATAATAATATTGTGACTAATTGTACTTGAATATTTAAATTGACTAATGAATAAGTTTTTAAAAATGTGTATCAACTAGATTTTAACAATTTCCTTATTTCAATTAAATGGTAAATACAAAAAACTAAAAAAGAATAATCACTAAATAAATATCAGACATTTAATAAAAACAAACTTGATGTCCTAAGTCTTAAATTAAAAAAAAAAACAGTCAGTCAGTTTTACTTATCCCTTTGTTCATATTTGAACATCATACTAGGCTGATACTTCACATGTGTAGAATTGAATATGGTTCTGGAATAGTGAAGACAACCTAGTTAGTAGAGCTAGTAGTAGTTAACTACTAGGTAACCATAGCTGACTTACCCTTAAAACTGTCAATGCGACCCTAAATCCTTTCTTCCTAAATCATTGGCTAACTGTTTACCCCTAATCCCGATTAGCGATACTACTTCAATAAATTATCATTTATCATAAAACAATACAATGTTTATTATCTAGGGTCAAACGGGTTGAGAGTATTAGAAAACAAAAGGGGCAAATATAAATGCAATTTTACACTTAACTTAACAATTTTAAATTTGAGTTGAACATTTTTAATCATTAGATGTAAAACCATTACAAAAATAAAATACAAACATTGTTGGTTTTTAATAAATAATAAAAATTGCGATAATGTAACTATGATTCAGTTTTCAGTTTAGCTATTGTACGACTTAAGTGTACCTATACCATAAGGCTGATGTGCTAGGTGTCAATGTCTTACATTCTTATCAAAAATCTTACTTAAACATTTTCTCTACTTAATTACAAACATTTATTGTCTTATCTCTCAATTTATTATAACAAGGAATATTCTTAATTAAAAATGTCTAGTTTATTCAAAAATTCTATAATTCAAATAAATTAATATAGTTAAAAATGTTCTATGTATAGGTTTAAATTTTTTTATAAATAGGCGTATATTACATTTACGACAATTTAAGGCACGTGTAGAAACAGTCCTTAAGTAGGCAATGGGGATTTTTTTATTTGCTAGTTGGCACTACTCCATCAATTAGCAATTACTTCTTCAGCACCTTTTAAAAAATTTGTATATCAAATTTTTAATAATCTAAATTAATGAGAATTTTTTAAATATATCTTAAAATGTTCACTTAATTTTGATCGCTAAAATTTAAACATGAACTTTTAGTATGTCATGATACAAAACAAATTTAGATTATATGTAATTGTTTTCTATTTTGAATATTGAAGGAAAACAATCAGCTGTACAATATATTTTGGGTTAACCTTACGGTTTTTTTTTTAATATAGTTGCTCGAAATTTTAAAAGTTATATACATCTAAATGAATAGAATCATCGCCTTCTATGTTTAACCTAATCAGGGCAGATGATTCTAGTACAGACATACTGGAATAAATAAACTTACTGAAAAAATTATAAATACTAAAATTTTCGACTAAAGTTTTTTAAGGCGTGTAATTATTTATTCATGGTCATATAATAGTTATTTTATAAAATTTGATCTTGGAAAATGTACACCTACCCATAAAAATTAAATTAATAATACTTGTTATTTGAATGATGTATTTTAATGATTTTAGTTATAATGTGGTATTCGATTTATCTTATATAAATTATATCGATATAACAATAGCAGTTGCAGTACCGTAGTTCTAACTGTAAGTTGCAAGCAAGTTATATATGTAACAGTTTGAATAGATGTTGTATATATTAGTTATAACATGTTATTAATTCCTTGACAATTTTAATTACAAAATGTTATATTATTCGTATATAAGCTCACTTTTTTCATGTTCTATTAATGACGGTACTCAATTAAAAAAAAGTTGTTCATTAGTCACATACGGCATGAGGGCGTCGATTTCTTCATACATGAGCCCTCACTTGACTTGTTTATTATCGTTTTTTTATTATTACTAAGAAATGATATTCAATTTTTTTAACCTTTTCTCGAAAATCTGTTTAAACTCTTAAAGGACAAAATGTGAAGATTTTTTTTACGTTATTTGGTGTGACCAACCGAAATTCAGAGATGGCCATTGGCTTAAGAAATTGTCTTACACGAATTTTTGGTTAATTCTATTAGTGTGCTATTAAAAAAATAGAAAATTACTAAAAAAAATAATAATTATTATACAATACTATTTATTATAAACACTATAGTATAGAAAATACTAAATACTATAGTATTTATATTCGGAAATTTAGACTGAATCTAACACAATGTATTAATTTGTTTACTTTTTTGGACATAATTTTAAGAAATATATGGGCTGACATTAATTAGGATTGAATGTTAATTTATTATAATATAACCGTTTATTATCACTTAATGAGAGCAACGTTGGCAACTAGTGATACTTAATTTGTCTAATCGGCAAGAGCCCAGACGCAGAAAGGTAGCTCAATAATTATTATTAATCATAACTTATGATATAATAATTACTATAAGTGCATTTAATAAAAAATAAATGTATGACGCAACTTTAGATACTCAACTTGCGGGTTGTACTTAATAATTATATAGGTACAACTTATAATTATAACGTACCTATTACTTTTTAGTGTATTTTGTTTGCACACAAATGCGTTGTAATTATTTTCTTTTGTAACTCGAATATGTTTTTTATTTTATCTGTACCGTTTTAAAAATTGGTATTTTCAGATATTATTTTTTTAAATTGGTATACCATTCCATCGGTATGTGAAGCAACACATTGTAACGATCGTTTAAATGTCTACTTTTGAATACTAGCTATGAGAATTTGCATACATGTTGCAAAAAACAACGCGCAATTAATAGTATTATTATCAATATTTAGGCACGTACACACTTTTGAATGCGTGTTTAAAATACTATACCTGACGATAACTTCCGTCGATACTCAAACTCATGTAACGACTAATTCGTATGCCAAAACATGGTTATTTTCACAACCATAATGCTGTTTTGTCGGTTGACCGGTTGAAACGAAATTAATAATAACAAGACCTAACGTAATCCGCAGTCCCCCTATACTATTTAGGTATTTAAATGATGACACAAAAATTCGACAGTGCCCTCATCACGTTATGTCTGTCTGGTAATACATATTATTATCCTACATTGTTTCAATATATTAATTATCATATTAATTGTCGATATAGACTAGGCTTATGCTAATTTTGACATGGCAATAATTACTGTAACAGCACATTCATACATGAACCTCTATGTTATATGTATGTGTATTTTTAATAGCACTTTCTCTACTTGGACATCCGATTTATATTCGATTTCTTCACTTTATTTATAAGGCTTCGACGACTTGGCCATTAGCCTGTGATTAAATTTATTACTTACGTATCCATATAACTTACCTTAACTTGACGAACCAATTACTTAATTAACAAAATAAACGACAAGTTACTTTATAAAATGTCATCTTATACCTAAATCTATGGTGAATGGTCAAATTACATTTAATAGGCATGATTATATTTATAGGAAAAAAACGTTTAATTCCACATAATTATACGGCTACCTTGAGGGAAAATTTGTTTCGTCATCAATATTTTATATATTTAATGCATAATCTATTTCAAACTATTATTGGCATCGTTCGCGTGGAAAGTTGTTGTTTTAAAACGTGAATTACACATCCTGACAACAGAATTTATTATACTCAACCGACCGCCCCCTCTATTTTTGTAGGTTAAATAACACAGTTTATTTCCTCTACCAAAGAGGTAATTAAAAACGGATTACGTTACTTATCGGTCGGGGCGATTCTTACCTGTGTTTGTACAATTTCTGTGAACCTCAACCGGATAAAAATTATATACTTACACAACAATAATGGTTTTTTTTAAATATTACATTATTTAAGCAACATAATACCTCAATAACTAGCCTATGACATGCAATGAAGTTTAAGGATATTCAGACATTCCTAGTAGTCGATGGTTGTAATATTAACCTTTATGTAATATTGGCGAGTTTCAATTTTACAGTCTGTAAGATTTGTTTTAAAAATGAGTAGGTATGAGCGTTGATTAATAATCATTGCGCATTAGCATTATGCAACTAGATCATTCACAAGACAGCTAACGGACATCTAAATATTTTAGCAAACAAATCATTGCATGTTACTAGTTTGTGATATGCTATTTTTTAATTATTATTCAAAGCATCATTCGAGAGTTTTAGTTAACCTTTTAAAACGTATTGCTGTCACGTACCGATATTTATATTCATCGACTCGACTATTATTCGTGGCTTACTACTGTAACAATAACATTGAGATTTGTTTTATTCTCCAATCATTTCAAATTGTGGTCACAGTACTTCGAAATCGAAAGACCGGCTGCTATTGTATAAAATTATAAGGATAATAATTAATAATTACCTTAGGTAAATCGATTACATTTTTCGTGCTGTGATTAAGCAAAACCACAATGACAAATGCCGGTGAATCATAGGTTTATCAGCTGTGACAGCCGCATGTATAGACCGCAACTTGGTAGTCGTACAGTGTATTGTTTTGTCAAATTCATTAGCGTGTATTATCGGTTAATGTCTTTTTGTTTCTTCTCTTCACAACGCCTAATGACATCCAACCAATAGTTTTCGACGTTACAAACGAGAGATTCCGTGTACTCTTTAGACTATAGCGATCCAAAGGTTCATCGTCCATGTTTTTGGTATTTCACAGAATTATCCAGAGAGTTGCCCCGGTCGAATGACTAACGATCCATTATTAAATAACGGTTAGGTATGTTCTCCTTTATCATAAGTATGTTTACCAACATTTTTATTGCATGACTCACTTTGATACCTATTCATGAGACTCGTGGAGTATTTATAAATTATAAGTATTTTATTAACATTATAAACATACCATAATGATATGCCGACGGATTACTCTGCCGCCATCTAATTGCTTAAAACAATTGTATTATTACACTCTAAGAGGATCTGAGAATGTAGTGTGCTCGCATGTAGTTAATTTAACTTAGTTACCGGTAGCACAGGTTTTTTTAGTGAATAAAACTCACTTCACCAATCATAATATTTAGGTGTTATTTAAATATCCTAACCTCGCCTAAAATGTTGCATGGTTTTTACCGGTAAACGCACAGCTCAACAACAACAGCTCTGAACTCGTTTTTGGGATACAATTTTAAGGTACGCTTAACGCCTATATCCGTCTCCCTATGAAACTCCAAACTTACAAAAATATTTTCTGTAGAACACATATACTCGAACTGATTATAACTCCACACATCTGAATGTAAATAGAAGCTAACAGTCAAAAATTACAAAATAAATGAAGATTGACGTCAAAGTCACCACCGTTTCAAGTGTCAAACAAATACTATCATACATGTGCGATATGAAACCCTTTTGATTCTAACTTTACTGTTTTAATTTCATATCGTACAAACGGTTTCAAGTGAAAACATTGTACTTACATTGATTAGTAGTTTCGTGCACATTGTTAACACCTATAAAGCTAATCTAGGCCAACAGTGCAATACTTTGATGTATTCAGCCAGTATAAAATCGAACAACTAAAATGTTGACAAAAAATGATTTTTTTCTCTCCCAGTAAATTTGTATATCATTTTGACTTGTACTTTTGGGATATTTCTCTTATTATTATTTAGTAGTGTAATTAATTATCATAATCAGTAATTATGAAAGTATACAGGTAAAACTAAATAATTCAATTTTTTTTTTTAATTAAAAATCACATCTAATATTGCCTACTTATTAAAAAAACAAGCATATAAAAGTTACAAATAAAAGTATTTAAACTTTTTCTCGAGCTTATTATTTATTTTACCGAAATTATTTGTATGTATTGTAATTTGTAATCTTATACAAAAGGCAGATTCTCGTTGATTCGCCTAGCTTATATAATATTATAGTCATTAATTAATAATCACATTTAATCACATCATAATATTACCTATGATGTTTTAAATTTGAATGGATTTTTTTTTTATTATTATGATCGTAGAAATATATAATATGTTGAAATAATATTATTTATTGTAATAATATTTTGCAGCGCCCGACATGCCTCTAAAATTATGGTAAAGAAGTCTGAGGGGGATTTGTGTTCATGTTTCGCATGAGATTTAATTTACAACAATAATTGCCAATTATATAAACGTTGCCCTTGCAACGTGTGTGCGCGCGCTGGCTATAGGAAGAGATTTTTGAGGGTCACGTGTAAATTGTTGTTACACGTCCTCTCCTCATTGTTCACACGAGAACTACGCCGTTTTGTACATGTATTTAAAAATAATAAAAACAATGATTCGATTTAACGAGCTTTCACACTTAAGCGTCATCGTCCACCGGAGGATATCCGAAAATAAATGTTGGGTTGTATAAAATATTCCCACCACGTATCGGTTCGATTGACTTTCACGAGTAGCAGATCTCGTGAGTCATCGCATGCACACAATAACTACATAATATACTTACACACGTACCACATTGCAATAATTGAGAACAACCGATTATATACACATAATCCGCGTGACCTTCGTCGTTTCATGTAAATCGCTTAAAACGCTCTTCGGGTGTTTGACCGTAATAATAATTGTTATACTATTTACAGTTTACTTTTTAACAGCAGAAAATTGTCGTTTAACTCGAACTAACTAGACACATAATGATGAGATACTGTATATTATCCCCAGGACAATATTTTTTTTCTCGGCAGTTAGAAATTACAAACCACGCGCCTGAAATATAATGCGCTTAACAAAATATGTCATGGATCTTTGACTAATACATTTTGTGTATTAAATTGTGTTCTAGATTCCTCTAAATGTCATAAGGGAGCTGAATAAGGTGTCGAATGTTTCAGACCTGTTCAGAAAGTTCTTGCCGGACGTTGATGTGTACGAAGCCCAACAACTCGTTGCCACTTCTGGTCTTCAAAGTGAGTCGAATGTCGATCAGATAATATATTGCTAAAAAATACACCCTTATGGAATTTAAAGATTAAACAAACAATTATTATTTTTTCAGCTCGTACTATAATGAACATCGAGAGAAGTGAGTAAAATTAGATTAAGCTCATATTGTTATACTAATAAAGTCGCTTACCTACCTACCATCATTTAAAGATAAGTGAAGGGGACATTTAACATCGACATTGAGGCCACCGCGTGGGGTATACATTAACATGATAATATAATATATAGGAGTATAATTCTTGTAACTGAAACTTTTGGTTTGTCGCACATTCAGAAACACTTACTGTACACTGCCCTTGAGTAACACAATAATGTAACCGATGATTAGTGATAATTATTAATAGTAATTATGCATTTAATTACGGACATAAATAGAACGGAATTAAGCCGTACTGTGATCAAGGCACTTAAACACCAAAGGATAAAATATATTTGAAAAACATTCAGAAATTGTAATTGTTAATCCGACTGCATTCAGTCAAGTTCATCTAGTGCGTTCAATATAATATGAATTTGTTGTTTTTTTAGAATCTGCTCTCATGCCCAAAGCTTCTGGCTGCACTCCCGAGTACAGGTCGGTCAACTTAAAAGATAACGACGACCCGAGCTTATACTATTATCCACCGTGTACCCGAGTGAATCGATGTGGAGGCTGTTGTGCTCATGACCTGTTAGCCTGTCAACCAACCAAAGCTGAGATGTTAAACTTCGAGGTGCGTACGAATAATCGTTTTTGTTATATTAAATATTTTATATTATACATGTAAAATAGCATACTATAGATAGCTGAATAGAGAATCTACTATAATGTCATTATACTGATATGACGCTCCTTTATTTGATTTTTTAATAGTTTCACGAGTTACTAATACTTACTATTATGAAACCCATAAATACAGGCGAGATAATATTTCTAATTCAATGCCTGTGTCTATACAGTATATTTTATAGGCGCTTTATTCAAATTGTTATCTATAAAATTATACGAACTACAGTGTAGTCTGAATTTCTGCGAATTTTTTGAAACAATACCCAACAGTATAAACTTGTTAAGCTCCTAGTATGTAATAAGTACCTATTATTCGTATCCATACAATATTCGTTTGTTAAAAAATGTTATAGGTAATGGTCTCGCAGTACAACGAAGAGGGTAAATTGGAATACAAAGGACGCAAAGCCATAACCGTCGAACAACATTTGAAATGTAAATGCGATTGCATTGTCAAGGAACAGGTTAGCAGGTTTCATAATCACACAAATGCATTTTTTTGAATTAATCTCGTATACGACGTCACCTTTATGTCGCATTTATTGGTTTTTTTCTCATGGTTTTTTTGTTTTGCATTAGGACTGCAACCATCTGCAAAAGTACCATCCAAACGAATGCCGGTGCGTGTGCAGCAACGAGGAAGACCAGGAAAAATGCAATGAGGAGCACGACATCAAACTGTGGAACCCGGCAACGTGCACGTGCCAATGCCGGGACGTACAAGAATGCACTTCAGGGTTCATATTTGACTACACTACATGCAGGTGAGTTTCCCAGATAAATATCCAGTGCTAGTAGATAAAATAAACTACATTTTACCAAATGATAAAAAAAAAACAATTCAAATCAATACTGGCGTACTTACAACAACGGTCGAGTTCAATCCGTCGGTTTATGCTACATGGTATAATAATATCTCGTGAAATGTTTTCTGTTCAGATGTGAAGCCAGCACTAGGACCAGAATAAGAAATCCCACATACGACTCTTTTAACCGGAACAGATATACTATCGGAGAGACGTAGAACAGTATCGAACTACCAAGGGGTAGGAATGGCCGTAAGATAAACACAGAAACTAGCCGTTTACCACCAATTGAATTATTGTATTATTATTATTTATTAAATTTATAAAACGCTACTGTTCATTTATTGTACATTACATTGTAAATACTCATTCGGAAATATGTTAACTTATTAGTTTTCGTTCAGTTAAATAAACTTGAAACGAATTTGTGTGCTGTTATGTTGAAAATTAATATGTGTACAACCGAAAATTGTTTTGCAAACTACATAATAGGAAGTAGGAACTCGAAGTTAACATATGTTTTTCGATGGCAATGCTATTTACCTGCCATACAAGTATAGCGAACGAAAAATATTGTCGAGTAAAGCTTATACTCCAGGGTCGTGTAGAAATTGGAAATTATAAGTAGCAAAAAAGTTTCTTACACTATCTTGAAATTGGTATCGAAGCGTTCGTGTATGATTTATCCACACTCAAATTGAACATTGCTTTGGTCCCGGTTTGTTAACTTCTTGATGTATTAGCTGTATGATGGTTGTATTTTTTATACTAACTAACCAGCACTCGGATTGGTCGTGTAATAAAAGAAAAAAACATTTAAACCTATACAAAATATAACTGATATTATTTAATAAGACGGCCCTCTGGTTATGCAATTCTATAGCATCTTGGTGTAATAACTGTATCTATACCAATTAAAAGACGCAAAACTTTTATTTTTGTGTCTAGCTCCATCCTCCTAGTCCCTACATTCGATAATTCACTATGAATTATTATAATTATTGTCGACATCAAATTTTTTACGTAGGGCTTATGCAAATATTACAACAGCCCAAATACAAAATTAAATTTTTCAATTTAGGGATTTTACTGATTTTGAGATTGGCATTACATAAATGAGTACAAATTTTACGCACAAATATTTTGGAGGTATAGTCAACAGACTTGGACAACCCAAAGTCGGCGATTAAGCGGATTAACGCAGGTAGAGAAGTTAAAATCGTTCTAAATAAATCCAATTCGTTTCATTGAAAAGTATTATGAACTATGATATTTTGTATTGATTAATAATTTAAACGGAAGCACAATTTTGTTTGTAGTTACCGGTTACGTGTAGTCCAGTTTACCTCGTGACTATCCTAGATACCCTATCAAGTTTTGCTAGAAATTAATGTTTCTAATTGTTCGACAAAAAAATTATGGAAGGAATAACGATTAATCAAGAAAACACGTGGTTTCTTTTTGAACACAATAACACTTCAGCAAAAATCGTCACTACTCTTATCTCAGCTAATACTCACTCGACAGTATAGAACTAAGATGCTCGACAAACTGCATATTGTGACGAATGCGACTGTACACGTTTTGCTATGTCACCGTATACGTTGTTTAAAATATGTTATATGTTTTCTATCATCTTCGCTGCTGTGGCCGACAGTATGGACGCGCAGCCGGATCTGGTTGAAAAGCCTAAGTTGAACTGCAATGACCATCGTCTCGAAACTAGTCAACATTGCCGTAACGAACCAAATTCGATGACCGAAAATTACTCAAAAACAGAAGTAAATATTACTATTGTTTGCCAAGCTAGTTAGGTATTATAGTATACATATTTCACAGATTATTGGGTTTGTTTGAGAATAGGTACCCGAATTAGTTATGTTTTCCGTTTAATTATAACTTATAACTAATCATATTATTTTGAACTAAATAACTGTAAAATGTACCTTTGAAAAACAATTATGTTACTGTTCTCCATGTCCACTGATTTATAAAGCTAAATAATTATAATATTAATAAATTTGATACAATAAAAATAGGTAATTAACCAACAAGAAAATAGTTCATAGTGTTATGTTTATTTCAATAGAAGAGGCACTAACATTTTTTTAATGCTTACATTTTATACAACCACGACTTTAGGCGTTCATAAAAAAACACTCAAGCGTCGAATAATTTCACTAAACATCTATCTAGAGAAGTTTAAATAAATGTTAACTCCATATGGAGTCAACTGCAGGTGTAGCGTGTAGAGATTTATAAAATTCCCATATGGGTATGTACAATATGAATAGGCATATTTACGACAAAACTAACCCAGGACCAGTTAAAATAGGTGACAATTAGTTTAATAATATACACAACTAACTAATAAAATTACTAATTTAATGTGTCTTTGATCACTATGAAATAAATAAATACATATTTTGCTTTTAATATGATAGGTACAAACGATGTTATGCTTAAAATTTGAAGCAAACTAAAAATAAAACGTCGACATATATCTTTTACTTTTTTTTTAAATCCATTCATTGTCAATAATCGTTTCATGTGGTCAAGAAAATGTACCTATTTTATTCGATTCAAAATTACGAAGATAGAATAACGTGAAGTATTGTACTTGAAGTATAAGTTGTTATAAGTAGTGAACAGTGTAATTTTTTAAACGTGTATTTTTAAATGTGCGTGATAAATACAAACGGTTTATTCCAAAAACGGAGATACATAAAAAAATATTTAAAATGACCACTTTGATAAAAAAAAATTAACATAACAGTTAAATTCTCATTGGTATAACAATAAATATGCTAATATATTATGTAATCTAAAGTTGTAGATTTCAATTTATTTTTATTTATGTGACAAAGTGCCTAATCAGAATTCCTTAAGAGTAGTTGGTGTACTCTAATTTGGACGTTTGTATTTCATTACATTCCTACTGGTACTTATTGTTATAGATACCTTTAAATATTATTATGGAACTAAATGAGTTTACCAGTAACGTATCGGGTCTGTTCCATAAGTTTATGCCAAACGTTAACGTGGAGAAATTGTTGGGAAACGACGCTGCAAACACAATTCAAAGTACTTATCCGTACACTATACAACGCCGAATACGTTACTAAATACTACTTACTTATCATTTTACGTTACAGATGCCGCATTGGTGCCTAAAGCTGCAGGGTGTTCCATCGAAAACAAAACTGTTAGTCTGAAAGATTCGGACGACCCGAGCCTTTACTATTCACCACCCTGCACTCGTGTAAACCGTTGCGGAGGCTGCTGTTCTCATGAACTATTGGCATGTCAACCGACCGAAGTGGAAATGATAGACTTTCAAGTACGTCGCGTCATCACGCTTCACTTTGAGTCGTCACTTACAACGTTACTTGATCCGTTGTTTTTTTTTTTACTCTATAGGTAACGGTTATGCAGTACAATTCGGACGGTGCATTTCAGGTTAAAGAGAAAAAAACTGTGACCGTGGAACAACACAACAAGTGCAAATGTGACTGTATTGTTAAAGAAAAAGAAAGTTTAGCAACTGTATAATACACCTTTGAAATAACATTTAAAAATTACATTATACCCACTATTTATTAAGGAGTTTGGTATAGGCTATATTCGAAAAGCTTAATTTAATTTTAACTATAATGTGTAAATATCAAGACTCTTTTGTTTCATTTTACTCGGTCGATGGTGGATTTCGAGAAAAAAAGCCTATTATGAAATGATCACATTTTGGAGGGATTGCCATAACTGTTTTTTTAATATGTTATTAGTTTATATATTAATAATTAAAAAAGGAATTTCTTATCTTTATAAAACAGTGAAAACTTGTTTTCCAAAGCATATTTAAAATAAGTATATGACAACCCCTCCAAAATATCTTCTTGCTATTTTACAATAGGTGGATTTCTCTTAATCAATGAGTAAAATCAGTTAAATTACAATGAGTAAAACGCATTCAGCGTAAACACATTTTAAACATTTACATTTAAGAAGCATACTCAATTTTTTTTTTTTATAATTCATAACTATAATTTAGAGTGAACGGGATAGGCAGCTCCTACATCAACAACCTCTCAATTAAATTACTGATACCTTATTTTGGCGAACCCTTTTTTTTTAGTACATTGAACAAGTTTTATGGTTCCTTGAGTCAAATTTTATAGCTTGTAATATAAAGACCACCCTATTCTCTAATCTAACATCACTACATCGCCACAAATATAATAATTAACGTGTATTTACTATTTCTAACTTGCAGGACTGCAGTTCGTCACAAACTTATCGCCCTAACGAATGCAGATGCGAGTGTACAAACCATGAAGATCAAACCAAATGCGATGAAGAGGCAGATGTAAAAATGTGGAACTCGGACGCTTGCACTTGTCAATGTCGCGAAGAACAGGAATGCTCAACGGGGTTTACATTCGACTACAGCAGCTGCGGGTAATATCAAACCTATAATTTCATGTATGATTGGTTTGGTAAAAGAATTTATTTTACAGGTGCGAACCCGATACTTAATGTTATCATAACAAATGGGAACCTCAAAGAGATCAACGATTACCATTAGCCTACAAATGTTTTTTTTTTTTAGTTCGCACACATTAATTTGAAATATGTAAATATTTTTGAACACCATCAAAACGATTTAAACGTGTTTGAATTTGTGTAATTAAATAGTAGTACCTAGCTTAAAGACAAAAATTCGAGTGAATTTTACTAACGACACTAACCTACATTAGGCAAAATTCAATTCTGCATAAATTTAATTATTTCACATTTCACATTAATATATTCATAAATTTAAACATAAGTACATATAAATAATAAAGAGTTACTTACCCATTTACTAAGTGAATGTTAAGTAACATAATACATATCAGTACACTGTACACATCTTATTTTTAAAAGTTTTAAAGGATTACCTTTATTTAGTACTCCCGTCCTACAAGTCTTATTTCTCTTTTACATTGACAAGTACAAACCTACTTTTAATAAAAAATTATTATCATACCTACTAGGTCATTATATTATACTAGTTATTTTTATTACTTTTTTGTAAGTTTAATATTATATAATAAAAAAATAAAACAACTAATAATTGCGGCGCCACATTGAAAATGTTTAGCTGTTCTGTAGGAACAGTTGATCAAATAAAAGTTGTTTCTTCTTCTCTTTAAGTATAAATGAGAAGTCATAAAAATAATAATAATTAACTTATTTAATTTTTCAAATATAACCACATACATTTTTTGATCGCCAGGACGATTCCTTTGAAAATAACATTTTAGTATTTAATTGTATTAAATGTTTTATCATCAATCTGCATTGACAACACATTCAAATTGTGATATTAAAGTATTTTTGATTGTCAACTAACAACACTTTCAACACAGTTTCATATTTTAATAGCTTCTCGAAGGTTCAGTTTTTCTATAAGAATACATCCAGTTAGTGCGTAAATGTGTCAGTGACATTGAAAGTGTTAAATAACAAGTACAAAATAAACGAACCAAGTATTATCTCTTTGAAATTTCATTAATCATCATTTAGGATTTTCATAACGAAGAAAAATTTAATTTAACTAGCATTACTAATTTAAAAGTATAATGACATACATTAAGCTATAATTCCTATAAAATAGGTTTATGTGCAACTTTCTTAAAACATTTGTTATCCAGGATTAACTTAAATCGCATCACGTTGATGTGCTTTAACAATTACACAGATACATAGTATATGATAAAATGTTCCTTGCACAGTTAGCATTACTTTAGTCTTTTAATACCCTAACAGATAAATTTAACATTGTAAAACTGTAAGCAGCTATAATTTGTTTTAATTATTTTGATGAACATACACATTTTCTATGACTACTATAAAATATATTATTTTTAAAGAATAGCATCAGAAGCCACTTTATTTCGAAGAACCTCTTTAAAAATTTAGTTTTGACTAAATATTTACAGTCCTTAATAATTAAAAATGATAACCGTTTTTACTAATGTTTAGTTATTGAAGTGAAACTTCTTTATAGAGAGTACAAAAAATAAAACTTTATTATCGGCTGACGGTCAGCAGTTGCGAGAGTTTTTAGTTGCTCATGCGCGTTGTCTCATATTGTGTTACATAGTTTGTTTCTTTAAATCTTTTTGAAACCACAGTCTATTACATATAGAGCAAGCGTGTCCGTACTGATTATTTGTAAAGTTATCGTTAAAGTGTTAGTGTTATTTAATTTAATGAGTGTTTACTTTAAATGTTAATTTTATACTATACAGATTAAGCTATGCACAAAATGTGAACCAAATTCATGAATTCGTAGGTCGTCAACTAAGTCGCCACAGTTCAAACAGATAGGATATTCTAAGGTGTCATCTCTTTACCACAGTCATTTTTTACTAATCAAATGGTTTTAACAATAAATGTTAAATAATTAAAAATTATACCCAAAGGCTATCACAAATTAATTTAAAATGTACCCTTATCAAATTGTATAAAAGAAGTTTTTTTTGTCAAATATTGCATTTACTTTGCTCCTTAATAAAAAGTAAGTTCCAAGAACTTTGGTTTGCTCAGTTTATATAAAGTAGAACTATTTAATAAAATAATACATAGAAGCTGACTAAAAGAGAATTATCTTTAATTCTCGAAGGTAAATGTGTATTACTGAGATTATATTTATTATCATAATATTTTTAATTGTGTGATAAAAAGCAAAAAGGGACATCTTTTTGTATTTTCCAAAATTGTCTGAATCTTGATTGACTGTGTTAAAAATTTGAAACCTCAAACATCATAGTTGCTAAAAAATCAACTTTGCTGACAATATGTCTCTTTTTGCTTTCTGCATTACAAATATTAACTTTATTTTAACGTAAATTTAGTTCACTTTTTCCCTACACTGTTTTTCCAGCTTTTTAGTGAATTGACATACATAAGCTTTTCACACATATTTCAAGAGTAAAAGTATGACCATATGCGAGATTAGAAAAATGTTCTATGAAATCCTTAATACATTTTACAACTTGACTAGCTTAAATAAACTTTACTAGATTTAAAATCAAAATCTTGATTATTACCTATACAGTTGAATGCTATGGCAGGACAATGTTTATGAATGATGTTTAAAAAAAAAACACAAGTTAGGCATTTAAATCAAAAAGATTTGGTGTTTATTAAGGTCTACGCAAAATTTTTCTTTTTCAAAATCTCTAACAAAGTATCCAATTCTTGTGTGTCATCACCAAAGTGTTTGACAACGACACAAGAACAGCCTACGACTTTCCTTGCTTGGCCGTTATTGTCGTACTTACACAAGCCGCTCCATTCACCGAGAGTTTTGTTACTGTCAACTTCAATCAGGGGAATACTGCTTTCTGCGCATAATCCAGTTACCAACTTTTTGTACATAGCTTCTTCACAGTTGTTGGCCAACACACACAACACACCTATGGAGGGTTAACAAACGGGAGTTTATGGGATACCAAAAATAATTGAATAATATCGATTGACAGCATACTATTTCATATTTACCCAATTTCTTTTCCAGAGCTTTAGCACCCTCGTGAATTCCGTGTAAAAGGCTGCCGTTCACTTGAGCGTTTTTCAATACTTCTTTCAAAAGGTTGAACATATCTCCGTTCTCACCGGCTTCCACAGTATCTTCGACGTCGGACATTTTGAAACTGTGTGTTCAGATGTTGTACCGATAACAAGAATTACGAAAAACCAATCGGTTTTAGCCAAACTTCGCGCAAAATTCCTTGAACGGAATATCAAAATGAACACGTTTTCGGTTGAAGGAAAGTAGAGGCTTATGTGGTTGAGGTTAAGTTTGTTTGCATCCCGTGTGTGTCGGCTAACAGTGGCGGCAACCTACTGATCGACCGTACAATTATCGCGCTAGTTCTCACACTGTACGCTTAAGATAAGAATAATAGAGATTTTATAAAATAAATAATAAAAAAATGTTTTTACAATAATAAAAGCGGAGTTGTTATCGCACCTACAATTTTGTTATCGTAGTGAAATAACAATAATATGTGTAATATTTTATTATCATTACTTATAAATTCACGAGCTTGATGTTTTCTAACCATCTGTAAACTTTGGGACATAAAAAAAGTTGTCTGTAGCGAAATGTCAATATTTGCTCGTTTTTTATATTGGAATACATTTTTTATAGTATTTTCGAGTAATAAATAATTTAATAGGTACGTGTCTGTAATTATTTTCTAAACCATTGAAAATCATGGCATCAACAACTTCTAGAACTAATGAAGAAAGACGAAAAAGAGTAAATTATTTTCTTACAAACTAGCTATTAACATAATATTTTTCAATTATATCTTTTTTATTTAATGAATATATCATATAAATATACAATAATATTGTGGAATTATCACTCATTTTAAATGGGTGTATTGTTATTTCTTTGATGTCTGTTGTTAATTAAAACCATTATTCTTTTATTCTTTCTAATCATGTCAGCATAAAACACATATCAATCAGAAATTATCTAATAAAGTATATTACAGACAAATATTCTATAAATTTCAATTAGACTAAATTTTATACTTCTTATAATTAAATAACTACTAACATTTTTTTTTTTATTTCTAACAATTTTTCAAAGTCAAAATGTGATTGACATATGAAATTTATTTTTTATAATTCATAGTATTGTCAGTTAAAATATGAAAATTAATTATTTCCCCCTATTAGTTCTTTTATTTAATATGTGCAAGTTATATTTTTTATATAATGAATTTAAGTACACTACATATAGAATAACAAAGTCCCTACACAGCTTTGTTATTCTATGCGTAGAATAGCAGAAAGTATATTGAGTGGGCTTTAACTAATTATTTTTATTACAGTAAGTTATCTTTAAATGGGTTATAAAATTAATCTCTAGTAATACCATGAAATAATTAATTTTCTTAACTTTTTTAACATGTCAATAATCTAATACTCCACATTCCATAAAAGTAATTTAAAATTATCATATAATTAAAATGTTTTAATCATATGTCTATAGTTTTATGTTAGTACACTTAGTAATTCTTGGTTACTTATGTAAACAGAATAACTAGTTTTGTTACAAAGTTAAATTTTAAGATTATACCACAGCAGGAATATTAATGACAATTTAATCAATTATATTATATGGAGTGGGCACTGAATAATTATATTTATAGACATTTTCTTAGCTGCTAGCTATAGTTTAATACTTCCCTAATTTGTTTAGGTATATGTTGGCGATCTTCCTAAAGATTTCTTACGTCTCGATGTAATTGCTTTAAATGAGACTTCAGCTAAACAGCAACAAGAAGCTGCTGATCAGCAAGCAGCTTTGGCTCTTCAACAGGCATTAACTTCAGTACCAGGAGACCGTGATCGTAATCGACTAAACATCACTGTTGTTCAAGCTAGACTTGCCAAAAACTATGGTTTAACCCGAATGGATCCATATGTACGTCTAAGAGTAGGACACTGTGTATATGAAACACAAACAGACACAAATGGTGGCAAAACTCCTAAATGGAATAAAACTGTTCAAACGTAATTTTATTAATATTTTTACATACATTTTATATATGTTTCATGTTTAAATTGCTTGTAACAGTCTTCTTCCAGATGGTGTTAATCAGATTCATGTAGAGATATTTGACGAGTGCTCATTTAAAATGGATGAGTTAATCGCTTGGACAACAGTACCAATTCCTTTACAAATATTTAAAGGTGTTACAATTGAACAGTGGTACAATCTTACTGGTAAACAAGGACCTAATCAAGAGGGTACTATAGCTATAATTATGAGCTATGGGGTAAGTGTTTAATTTGTTGCGATAAAAATACATTTTTACTAAAACTTAAAAATATATTTTACTTGATCTCTAAGGTGCCACCGTCTTTAGGACTAGTTCCTCCAGTTATGATGATGCCCCCTATATCTAAATATGGTGATCCGAGTGCTGGTCTTACTCCAATTTATGTGCAACCCTCAGCACCTCAACCATTACCATTAAATCCCGAAGACTTAAAACAAGTATATCACATGTAATTAAATATTATACTAGACACTGTTCTTTAATAAATTCAAATTATAGGTTCAAGATATGTTCCCAAATATGGATAAAGAAACTGTGAAAACTGTTTTTGAAGCCAATAACGGTAACAAAGATCTAACCGTTAACTCGTTACTCCAAATGGTTGAATAATTTTATTTATACTATTATTTAGTATCGGATATTAAGATTAGACTTTTCAAAAGTTTTATTGTATGTGTGCCATTCAATATTACCATTTAAAAATATTATCAAAAAATGTCTGATTAATTCACAGTTTCATCTCTTAAAAGTATACATTAATAAGTTGCTAAGTCAGGCTAATTAATTTACATTAATAGCTTTAAATTAATTTTTATATAACAGTTTATTTTCATAGTTTGTGTTATCAATTTTATTACTCTTATACCACCAGAACTATACTTAGAGTATTGGTTTTCTTCTATTTATATATATTAACATTAACTGGTTTATTTTTTTAATTATTAATCTAAAATTATATGTAAGATAAATAATATTATGGAACATATTGTTGGGTTTTTTTTTATATCAGTGATTTTTAAATAGTTGACTTTTAAAACATTTATACCTAATTGAAGAGTGAATTTGCCAAACATTCCAAATGTGAAATCATAAAATATAGTTTTATTAATTATTTAAGTTGTACGTGGAATGAAAACAATCCAATATGTTTTCAAAGTACCAAATTGTTATTTCACCGTGATATAATGTGGCATATATTTTTATACAAAGTCTTCATTTAAGATTAATAATATAATATAATTTTTTATCTGTTATTTAGTTTGTTTTAGACAATGTTGCATACATTTAAGAAGTTCACTCTTTAATTATGCTAACTTTTATTACAGTAATTATTTAGTTTACCAATTAGATAATATAGTTTTAGGTGTATTTATTTATTCAATAAAAAATTTATAAAAGTTAATTAAAATACCTATGTTAAATAATTATATGAAACATTAATCACTTATGAATCATTTCTAACAATATATTACTAGTAAAATATCTAGTTTATTAGTTAATTGTTTTATTCCATCAAATTAGTGTTATTATAATTTATGAGCAGAGTAAATTAAATAATCAATTTAAAAAATCACGCCAAGATCTTTTACTTGTATGTTTTACCCCGATCATTTTTTATTAAATAAGTTTTCTTCAAAGTTTTTTTTCGTAAAAATTTGTTGTTTTTTATTTTGGTTTTATTTTCAGCGTAAATATTTTTTTGCTAAAATATTTTCAGCCCTTTATTTGAATTTATTTTGAAAAATCTGAAAAAAACAATAATATAATTAAGTAATAACGAACCTTAAATATTTTAGTGTGGCAAGTTAGTTATTTTATATCATTATTTATATTATTATTATAAATTATTTTATGCTTGTAAAAAAAGGTGATATGTGACATTTTTCTGTAAAATGTGTTTTCCTTTATTTTGATGTCAATAACATAATTGATAATTGATTGCTCCTCTCAAGTAATTGAACAAAAAATATGTCGCTTACATTTTTTGTTATGTTGTCAACAATATTCAACCAATAATATTACTTGACAATATTTTACTGGCTATATTTTGTCAGAATTCCTACACTTTTACCATATTGAGCAATGAGCTTTGGTTAATTTAAAATTTGAAGTTATGGCATGCTTGTTTTTTATTCAAATTTAAAAAATATTTTAATATGTTAAAAGAATCGATCTCATAAGATTTATTATTTATTGTACTATCGAGTATCACTGTTCACTTTGAAATTTTGTGACTATAAAATAGCAGAATTGAATCTGTGAAAGAAACAATTAAATATATTATTAAAATTGTGTTTCAGCAATATTCCGTTAGTAAACAATATATAATGAATAATTAAGAATATAATGTTACTGTTCATAATCAAAGCATTAGCTTATGAAGATGTAAATTATCCTTTACAATATTGCCATAACTATTATACTATCTATTGGTTGTTCTATGTAATAATATTTGTACTGTTTGTTATGCATAATTTTTCTGCAATTTGTTCATCTCATAAATTATAATATTTTATCAATATAATAACTCGGTGCTGTTTAATATTACAATAGATTGTAATATAATCAACGATATTGTTGACTTGACAATTTAACATAAACATGCAATATTTTTCTGAATTATATGAAAACTTCTGATTTCTTAAAATACAATTAAATTAAGTCAATATTTTATTAGTTCATCGTTGTATTAAGTATTTAACCCTCAAAGCTTAATATTTTTTAAGTAAAATATATTTTTTCATTACTATCGATTAGAAAACTTAGCTATGTTTGTTAAGAAAATAACTACATTATTACTAAAAATTGTTATTTAATTATTATTTATATGTTAATAATTAAAGCATTTAATATTTATGTATAATCAACTTTTATCTGCTATTGGCAATTAAATCCAAGAAAAAAACAATAATTTACTATCTCAACTTATTATATTACACAAAGAATCTTCTTTGTTACGTCAACAAATAATAATAATAATACGGGCACTGTATAATTGTATAATATATAAAACACTTATCATTTTGTTATAAATATAGTAACACCTAAAAAAATTGTAATTTTTTTTTTACGAATAACAAATTGAAATTATAATAACTAAATAAATATGAATAAAAAAAATTATTGACAGTTGTTATTGCTAGCAGCCACCTGAGCTGCTAAGTCCGCAAACTTGGCAGTGTAATCTGTACTGTTCTCACTCATGAGACATTGAAATTGGGCTTCAACCTGAAAATTAGTTTACAATAATTATATACCGAGGCATAATTTAAATAACTGCAATTAATATATTAATATATAATTTATGAACCTGATAGGAAATACACCGTTTTTAAGAGAATATTCAACTGGATATTTCAAATGTTAAAACCTATAGCATGGTTAACTTTTATCATGATAAAGGGAAATAATAAATCTCATATTTTTGATGATTTTAAACTTAAATGCTTATTTTCATATTTAAAACTATTAGTTTAGTTTTACTATATTGTACTGGGCAAAAATTAAAATTGTGTAGTTTTTTAATATATGTTTTACATATTACAGGTTTCAATCATGAAATTATAAATAAAATAAGCATACAAGTCATACTGTCATTTTTGTACTGAAAATAGCAGATAATGTAATACTGTAACCAACATAATATTTATTCTTACACAACAATTGAATTTATATTAATACTCACATCATTTGAAATTATTTTTCCACCATCAATTTGGGTCAAATCAGATGTTTGTTCTTTATCAAGGTGACCCAAAAAACTGCTTAAAGAAAAATCCATCTGGAACATAATAAAATAATCAATCGTTTATTATATGTTCAAAATATTACAGTTATAAATTAATAGAAATATGTTAACCTCTGGATTCAGCCAATGATTTCCATCATCCTTTAAAAGTCTAGATGGACTAGTGGAAGGGGTGATCAGACTTGAAGATGATGAACTACACTGTGGCAACAGACCAGAGAAACTTGGCGATGATGAGAGATCAGGTATGGTGTCTATCAATCGGTTGATAGTTGAAGATGTAATACTGACATCATCAGGTATATCTTCTTGCTCTGCAGGTCCCCATGTTTCTATAAAAAGTAATTATTTATTTTAAACAAACCTCCAATGTGAATAAATAGAATATTAAAATGATAGTTTCGACATAGAAAAATGTAAACATATTTAATTAATATCTGAAAATGTAGCATATATTTAATATTTTAAAACCAATTATTTATATTTAACCCAACTATAAAATATTATTATAACATAATTTGTTGATATCCTATATTATTTTATTGTCAACAAGTTAGTTTGACTATAAAACATTTAATAAGTCAGTGATTAAACTGTGAAAGGTTTAGTAGTTAGTTATATATGTGTAGTGTATACTGACTTGTTGGCAAGGTTGGGGCTCGATGGACTGAATGTTCGGCTAGATCTAATTGATCAGTATCAGTTGGTTCAATATCAACTGTTCGTTCATTGCTAACAGCTGGTACAATTGGCCTAAAGTTGGATGTCTGAACAACTGTCAAACTAGTTTTTGGTTGCAAAGGAAGTAGTTTTTGCACAATTCCAACATGTTTATTACCGGGTCGACCAGCTCGCTGGCAATAACGTGGCATGCCTTGAAGTTTCTGCAAAAAAAAGAATTTATACATTTTTTTTTTTATCAATAGCCTTTATTCGATAATATATTTTATAAATAAAAAATAACCATACATTCCAGATATTATAATTTTCAAAATTATTATACTATACTTACACCAACTTGAGCTTCAAAAGAACCAGTCGAATGTAAAGGCTTGGGTTGTAGAGGACGCCTGAATACAGATGATGAATGCACCATTACTTTACAACCGTTAACCAGTGAATATGCACCTCGTTGCATTTGATCTACATCAGCTTTAATCTAATAAGAGTGATGAATAATAAGTTATTATCTTATACAGTAAACAATATTTAAACAAAGTTTTCAAGTTTACCTCAGCTTGTCTTGGTAAACTGTGGGCTTTATTATTTACAAATCCACATGTACAGGTCTAGAATATAAAAATTGAATTAGATTTTTAAAAAGTGTTTTCAAAACCTTTTAAAGATATACAACACAACTTGTCTTACTTTTGGTGAATTTGAGTTGTACTGAGCAATTGAAATTAGTTTATTTAATGATTGAGACAATCTATTTTTATTAGTTGCTTTAGCATTGTCTTCGAACCAATACTCCAATTGTATTCTGGATTCACTTCCACACTAAAATAATTAGTTAAAAAATAGTTAAGCTCTTTAATGAATCATTTAAATATACAATCTTTATTACAATAAGATAAAGTTCTCCAATCTTGATGGATTCTACATTAGCTAATGTCCATCCTTGCTTAACTCTAACTATAAATTCTTCCTTTTTCTCTTTTTCATGATCTTGAGGAGAAATAGCTGTATCGCTTTTAGGTGGACTGGCCATAAGTACATCCATACTTTTTTCTCCTTCATAAGTCTGATCATTTGAGGAACATAAAACTGGTGGACACGTAGGTATAGTATTATCCTGAGATAGTGAGGATCCAGATGATAAACTAGGCGTTTCAGTTCGCACCCGTTTAACATATGGTTTCTGTACTTTGGTTGAGGGAAACTAGAATCAATAGTATTTTATACATTAGTAATAAGCAAAAAAAAAGCAGTTAAACATATTTACTTTCTGGAGAATTGATTCAACAGATTCCTTAGAAATTTTATGAGTATTTCTATGTGCCAAAAGACTAACATTTGAACTATTTTCAATATCACTGAAATTCACACTGATTGGAGTAATATTCACTCCAGTTGCAGGGGCAACCCTTATTACTCGTTTTGATTCTTGGTCGGGCCCTAGTGTCTGAACTCTATGTATTTGTTCGCGCTGATAAAATTACGATTAAGGAAGTTATTTCACTAATAGTTTATAATAAAAAAGAATTTTAATCATACAAAACTGTACCAGAAGTGGTGAACTAAAGATAAATAAAAACATTAAATACATCAAGTTTGAATGTATAAAAGGATACTAGTTTCCAATTTTCGGACTGCCATCTATTTTCTAAAAAGGCTAAGAGCATAGACAATGGTTTTTGTAATTCTACCGTTGCTCTAATACGAGGATTCATAGCAAGTGACTGTACTAAGGACCAAGTATCCATATCACGAGGTCTTAATTCAATGCTCACTTTGCCCGGAAGCTTTAGATCTCCAATTGTATCTGAAAAATATTATATATTACTAACATTATTATTGAACAAAAATATTTGCAAAGCCAAAAACTAAAAAATACCTTCAAGACAATTCAGTTTTCTAAGAGCCCGACAATGTGGGGTTTTTACCTTCCACATCTTTCCTTTACTTCTTACTTTAGTTGTACCGTGGTATATCATTTCATACAGCTTAGACCAGTTTTTGTCGTTACAAAATCCTACTCTACGTTTAAGTTCACCATAGTTAATTAATCCGTAGAGTTCTTGAACTACTTTTGGGATTTCTATAAAAATGTTAATAAATATTTTAATAGTGTTGTGTTTTGACAATATAAGTTATTAATAAAATACCTTTAGGAAATTCAATATATTTGCAAATTTTATGCCAAGTGCGATAATAAAAGTGTCTCAGCTGTTCTTTACTCTTTACGGCCTGTTCACAAGAACCTTTACGCTTGGCTCTATTTACCATAAACCATTGAATGGACTCAAAGTCTTTACCAAATTCATTAAGACCTTCAAAAAACGCATTAGTATCCTCAAGTGACCAAAGTTCACGGCGTATTTTCGATGACTTAAAAACTGGGGCGTCACTGGAATCTATTAGAGAATACACCAAAAAATTATTAGATATCACTAAATTATAAATTGTTGATAATAATCACCTAATTTTGAACAGCTAGGTCCTGGAGAAGTTGAAGCCGGAGTCATACGCAGCTTCTTTGACACTCTGGCGCTTGTCCTGAGCAGGACACCCTTTTCGGACACAACTGTGGGCGCATCCTGCTCTTGTTGACAGTTGCTATCTTCAGACTTGGGTTTTTCGTCCATCATAGCTATCTACATGAGAGAATCAGAATAGCTAAGGCTGACCTCAAGACTACTGCGGTGTCAAAAGCCTTTAAATCATTTAGTTTATACTCACCAATGCAGACAATGTTTTGTTATTGACATTCAAACATAGGTCGGCCACTGTTTCTGCCACCTCTGCTGTCGTCGTCTGGCGTACGTGGGCAAACCGACGTCTAACATAGTCATATCGTCCGAACCAGAAGAATTGCGCTTACGTGTGTTGCTTCTGGTAAGTCCTGAGATGCGATTCGCGAAATTCACAGTGACGGCAGAGCGACGAACAAAACATTCATACGTGAGCGAACATTAATGGGTTGTAGGAACAAAAATTACTTTTAATATAAACTCTAAAGGTAAAGCTAACGTTGGACGACAATAACAAAAACAAACGAGGGAAAACAAAAACAACAATCCGTCTTTCCGCACGAAACAGATAACGAAGGTAGAGTCGACGATTTAATCACAACGGACGTCGGAGTTCGAACACAACAACAAATATGGCGAAACGTACACATACACACATAAACAGCTCTTTGAAGTCTGTTATCAATATTATTAGTAGTACTGTAGTAGCTGCTGCTGCATGAATGTGTAATAATATCGACGATAACTGTTGTGGTGCGCGAGAAGTAACGGATGCAGTGAGCAGTGCAGCAGCGAAGAAGGGGCGGGCTAAATGGCTCAAGAGGGAAATATAATTCGCGGAATAAGGACGAACGGGTGGAGCGACTCGTACCTACATTAAAATGTCGTCCAAAAAAAATTGGGTCACCGCCACCACACAAATAATGCACCGCAGCGACTTTCTTCTTCTTGACGAACAAATTTTCATTTCTATCTAGGTCTTATATGGCAGATAACGAGTGGATTCGACTGTAATGGAAAAGCAATTATTCATTCATACATATTTTTCACAACAAACAACGATTGTAAATTCAGTTTTGGGAACCTTCCTATTAATTATGTTTATTCTTACGAATGTGGCAGTAGAAAACACCAACATTATTGTTTCAAGGCATAATGTAAAGGGCGAGACAGAAATACTAAGTCAGATGACGGAGAACAAGGCGAAAATGAACATGAATACTGTATTTGACGGTTACAGTTGTGCTGCTCACAGCTGTTAGCTGGGTCACTACTGTAGTCAATTAGTAATTTCAAACGTGTAACGGTGTTTATTGTTTAATAATATAGTTTTGACCGACAACCGTCTATATTAATATTATATTTATTATTCAATAGTCATTTATATTTATGCTTCACCTTAAACACTGTTTACAAAATCAGCAAACAATGGCCTCCGATAGGTTGGCACGTTAATTATAATTTATAATATACTCACAGCCTAGGTAAGTTATTAAAATAAATCTATAAATATATAAAAGGTACACCTTAATACCTTTTCAATCTACCGTGATCTATTAAACTAACATTTAAAAACATCTACAATCTACAATAATTAATTTCAGTTAGTTGCTACTGTTTTGTCAGTTAGAGTTGATCAATACTCAGTTGTTCAAATTGTTTTAAAAAAAAAAAATTGTATCGTTTATCATAATTAATATCAATGAGAAAATAAAGTTTTAAGTGCTTCAAAATATTGGCTGTTTTATAGTGGAAGTTCATTTTATGTTTGTAGTTTGTACGCTATAGACTATATTTTATAACACTTTTAATTCATGTATTTCTACTTTCGCTTCAACAATGAAAGTAGATTGACGACAGATGAGTTCTATTTTACCATAAAAACCGTTTATACTTATAAAAATAATTGAAATCCCAATGCTTTCGGATATTTTTAATACTTTAAGCTTACTAATTAGCGCACTGACGCCAACACAAATATTATAGTGTGTATACCAAATGTGTGTATTTAATGTGCATGTCTACTAATAATAGGTATATATTTAATATCAAACATTTATCGAAATAGAATATAACAAGTATCTCCCTGTTATTTTTACGACACAAGTCACACATTTTGTGGTAGTATATGGCATGGTGTTGGTGAACAATTAGGAGGGGAGGGAGATTTACATTAATCACGCAGACCACAGTTACAGAACTATAATTTTCGCATTATACATCGAATGAAATCTACTGAATTTCCAATTAATACCAGTGTAACCTATTATGTTTATTCTATCGAAAGACATACATATGTTAACTATACATAATATGTAATCAAGTGTAATGAGTTACCATTCTAAGAATTTTCAAGCTCTTGTGGCTTGTGAGCTATTTGATTTGTCATCACACCCACATACTAATATACTATATTCAGCATTTTTATGCTGGGAAGGGAGTCTAAAAATAGATAAAAAACATCCAACCAAATGCTTTAATATATTTGATACAAAAAAGCAAAAACACATTTTTGTAAAATCGAAGCTAAAATACTTTTACTATGTGTAATATTTACCTAACCAGTACCTAAAAGTAAACACGACTAACAGTTATATTATAATTTCTTCCAAGACGGAAATTTTTCGTTTTTTGTATTCAGTTAAATTATAAATACACTATTCAGGTTAACTATAACCTGTATGGCTGTATACAGTATATTGGTTCACAGGTGAAGATAAGCATTAAAAACTAGAATTTTTTGAATATGTTATAAATACAGAAAACTGGTGGTATGAATAAAAAATTGTGCTACTATACCGTCCGCATTTTAATTAAAAAATCATGAACACTATGATATATTAATTATTATGTACCAATATCTTAATAGTGTCCACTATTAGTTATAGCTTTCTGTTTACTAAAATTGTGCGAAGTGATTAAAAACGTTTCTATTATATGGAAACAAGTTATAATCGAAATAACTCAGGAACAACTTAAAATTATGTGTAAATTTTGTTTTTTTTATATTAAAAATATAATACATTTGCCTCGTTTATTTACAGTAAGGTACACCTTTAACGAATACATCTTAGTTTCGTTTTTTAGCGTTTAGAATTTAAAATATTATACAGCTGAAAAAAATCGGGTTAGGAAGTATTTTAATTAAAATTATAAAACGATTCATGTTATAAATTAGAATCATAAGAGTTATAAGAACCGGGGGGGGGGCTCCAGTCCTCATCCTAGAAATGTTGATAAATAAAAAAATATCTAAAATAAAAATTGGATTTTTTTATCGAATTTTTGTTTTTGAATTTAGGTGACAACGACAAGACTACTCTTACTCCAAGAAAATTAAATTGGTCTAAACCTTCCCCCTTCCTGAAATTTGAAAAATTATATTGGTGCTGTCTATAAATACACGTGGGTTGATAATTAATAACATTAGCGTAGTACTAAATTACTAATGTTCAATGAATCAAGGTACAATATAGTTGTATTGTTATTATATAGTTACTAATTATAATTCATAATATCCAACTGCCAATAGGTAATGGTTGAAAAACACTTTCACTTATGAATCCTGAACTCACTTTTCAGTATAATAAGTAAGTATATAAGTACTATCAGTACAGTACTTTTATATAAGTAATGGTTATATACTTACGTCTATATAAGTTATAATAATATTTAATGAGGCGTATTTTAAAATGAATGTTAAAACTACGATATGTTCAGCTTTTCTTGGTAAAACAAAATTGAAAATGCCAAGAGAAACACCTACGTTCTACACAGTGAGACCACTTAATAGTTTCTTAATAGGTAACAGTGTGTCCAAAAACGGCAAAACTTGTACTTGAACGATAAACGCGCCAAATGAACAACAACAGTTAACAAAATATGTTGATCGCAATTTTGACTCTATGTCTGAATTAAATTTATTAAATAATATCATAGTTTATTTATTTAAAAATATATTATAATTCAAACTAAACACTTTCATAAGCATTGTAACCAGTACAATTTCAAAATTACTATGATATAGTTGTTATCGAATTCGCATTATTAAAGATTATCTTCGGGTGTTAATCGACTTATTAAAGATGTTTCGTAGATAGATCTCTCTCTACTATACATTACCGAGTTGTATGCTCTTATTTTAATCCCCAACAACTAATACTTGTGTTTACAATTTAAGGTGGAAGGCACGTGCGCCGACTTCAATTTCCAGCGCTGCCTAAACTATAGGCTCTCTATATAACTTTTTTGCTCGAGCGAAGACGTCGCTTAAAAATGTTAATAAAAGCAATTTTTTTTTTAAATTGCAAAAAATGAGTTTTAAACAATAAGTACTTACACACCTAATAAGTAATACACTCGATATACAGTCATAGGCATATATTTTTTTAATAATCAATAACGATAAAGTAGTTCATACAACATATTAATGAAATATTTTTTATTTTAAAATGTGTACAGGTATAGAATATTGATGTATCGACGCGTCTTACGAAAAGTAGCACCGTTCACAGAATCTTACGAAAAGTAGTACTGTTCAAGTTCTTACGAAGGCTAGCACCGTTCGTGACTTAATGGCTGGCGCCAACGGTGCTAGTTTTCACAAGAAATTCGCGAACGGTGCTACATATCTACTTGATAGGGCCTTACAGCATACGCCATACTGTATTATGTACATCGTCTATACATATTATCTATATAATGGTGTGCAACTCTCAAATTATAACCTACTGGTAGGGACTAGAGTACCAAGTAAAAGAAACGTCTTATTTTAGTGTCCTATTTTTTAATTTAGTACTTATACAAAATTTGAGTTTTTTCTAACAATTAAGTTTGAATTTTTAGATTAAAATTAAAAATAAAGACTTAAGTTACGTGTCTTATTATATTAACACGATATTATTAAATCGTGCTAATTAGGTGTATCTACCACGCTCAAAAGTAAAAACCGAGCAAATAACAAAATAAAATTTAAAGATAAATTTTTAAAATTCTAATCATCAACTGTTCAAACTAGTTAACTTAGTTTTCAGCGTTGATTTATGAACATATAAATTTATTTTAATTTTGTGAAATATTTGTGAAAAAAAAAAATTCAAACTACCCTTTTGTCATATGAACCTATAGATACTAGGTAAAGATACTATAACAGAATAGATTCATTTGATAGAATAAAGTACTAAATGAAACTATACTAAAAACTAAATATAAATATTTTTTTTTTTAAGAACTAAGATTTTATTTGAGAAAAGAAGAATGCAAATGGTAAAATTAAGGAAGACTACTGTTATAAATTATAATAAAAGCATTATAGAAACAAAATACATTAAAACCTAAAATTATTACACCCTATATCTTTTTTATTAAAGGTCCTAAGTAATTAGCATGTTAGATATTATGTATTAGAATATCATAACTGTGTTGAATCCATTAAAAATGTAAAGTAGACAGATAATGAAAAAAAACCTAACATAATTGAAAATTAAAACTATTGTTAGTAATTACATATTTGCTAGCGACCATTTACAATTATATAAAATCTTGAGCTATAGAAAAAAAGACTACCACTGTCTACTAACTGTTACTATCATTTTAATTTATACCTTGTATAATAAAATAATGATATTAAGTAATATTTTATTAATATGTTAAAATTAATAAAATAATATTTTGTTTATTAAAACGAAATACTCAATTTTATTGAGTAATTATTATATTAAGTAATATTTTTGTTTCATAAAAATATTTATAGTTAGGATTTAATAATAGTCACAGAAAGAGTTACAGAAAACATGACCTTAATACTATTTCAATAGTAAACTAACAATATCTTATTTAAAGATTTATTTATTTGAAAAAAATAATACATTTGATATATTATGTATACACAATTATTGTAGAGGTGGTATCAAGAATTATTTTTTAAAAAAACTTGGTGGATATTTAAGATTTATTATTAAATATAATAGAAAGCCATTTAGTATTTAGTAACTTTGTAAAAATGTATACATATATACTTCCACAACAGATAATTATACACATATTATTATTGGATCATGATATTGTAATTTGTAATATAACTTGCAATAGGCAATCGATAGACATAATTAATTTTTTCATTTAATTTATTCATAAAATCTCACTTTTATTTTTTAAATTTAAAACTGATAATTGTGCCTATAACAGTTTTCAATTTTAAACCGTTTTTTGAAATGAATTTACATATTTATTTAAAAAAATTAAAAAACCAATATGTATATAATACTCATAAAACTATAGTTGATAATAACTAATAACACTAAAACATGTGTTACTAAATAACCAAAATATTACTATTGCATTCAATATTTCATTAACAATATACTTTCTAACAACATACTAACTAGTGATGTATTTACAAATAAAGAAGTTTAATGACAAAATAATGGAAAAAGTTATCAGTCCGTACAAAAATATATTATGAATTGTTTCTATACATGAAAGTTAATCATACTCATGAGTCCTGTTTTAGTACTAACAGGTTTAACAGAATAATTATGTTGCAAAAACATCAATAAGGTCATGATGATGATGATGCCTCCCCATGGATATTGAATAGTTTAGCAACTTCATTGAGATCACGGTAACATCTATCCGATGCGAGTACCTGTCGTGCTGTTGACATCCTATTGAACAAATTCCATAGAACAATGCCAACGACAACATCATTTTGAAGATAAAATACAACTCCTTTGCTATAATCAGTTGGATTGAATACTGTGTTTTGATGTTCCGATTCTTTTTTAGGAGATGAGACATTCTGTTCTACTTCACTAGTAGGAGATGCGACATCTTTGGGTGTTGCAAATACACCTACAGTGGGCAATGAAGAATTGATAATTCCAATTGCTTCATAGCCTACTGAAGGTCCAATATCAGACCAAAACATAGGTTGATGAGAATAAATCTTGGCTGAAATTTTTAAATTAAAGTGATTATTAAATTTCATCATTTCTAAACAAATTTAAAAAGTATAAATTATTACTTAAGCTTATAACTATCATTCCTTTTTAATGTATAGTAGATTTAAAATACTATACTATCGTTTATAGAATGCATAATTCAAACTTACAAGCACCAGCCATATTTTCTCCAGCCAATCTACCAGAGATAACAGCATGATCGTGGTGTTCAACGCGTCTTCTTCCTAGCTGTTTGTCATAGAAAGAAGCACAATCACCTGCCTAAAATAACACTTTTCTTTAATATTGCATTGTTTATTATAGTGAAACTTATCTAAAACGAATCACACAGTAATAAAAAAATATTATGTAATATGCACTTTTTTATCTTATTTAGAAAAATATGTAAGCAAAGCTGTTTGGGGAGACCACACACAAACTCTGTCTTGTAAGTTTTTCAGTTTATTCATAGTTCGGCTAAGATAAGTTTCACTGTATTATTGTATATTGTATATATATATATATATTTATGCACATACAATGTATAAATCTGTTCTAGCTTTCAGTTCTGAATTTACTAGGTAACCACCCAGATGAGGATCAATTTCTAAACCAGCATTAACTGCTAATTCAGTATTTGGTTTAGCGCCCACAGCCATTATTACATGATCAACTGTTATCTATAAAATTATAATTTTTTAGACAAGGATAAAATTGATGACTACATTTTAATTTCACTTACTTTTTTACCATTATTTAGAATTAAATTCACTTGTTTTCCATCAGATTCTAAATTGCAGGCCTCTACTTCTGTATTAGACACAACTTCCACTCCCTCAAACATCACTTTCTCAGTTGTCCATTGGCTAAGATATTTTGGTAATACTTTAGCCATATTTCCATTTTCCTTAAATATTTGATATACCTTAACTCCATTTTTTTTCCCTTTCGTGGCCAACGATGCTGCAAGTTCACTGCCTAAGAACCCGCCACCAATGATGGCAACAGATTTTGCGTGGGTCAAATCATCCCATAAATCTTCATAATCAACTATAGATCTGAACACTGAGAATTTGTTTTTAACCTCTTGTGGAGCGTCATCATATATTTTAAGTGTTTTAGGAACAGAACCAGTAGCAATTAAACATTTCTGATATTTTATTTGTTTTCCATCTTGAAGTGTAACCATTTTATTCGATGCGTCAATTGATTTAACTTCCCAGCCACGAGCCAAAGATATACCACCATTTTTAGCAGTGTTTAATTCTTCCACTGGTGTATAAAACGGTTCAGGTTCATAAAATAGACTTCTAGTAGTACCATTCCACTGATGGAAATTTAGTGATTTGGCTGTTTCTGGATCATCATTATACCACAACTCTTTTGATAAGGGTGGTCTCATATAAGGAAGGTAACCTTCAGCAGATACTACTAAAACCTACAAACAGTACATTTATGAGTATTATTAATTTTTTTTATAAAAAATATAAAAATGAATTTACTCTAGCAGTAGGATCGGCAGATTTGATTGCTCTAAATGCTGAAAATGAAGCTGTACCGCCTCCAATAAGTAAGTATTGTACATCGTCAGGAATCGATTTTGAAGATGGAGGTATTTGAATTGTTTTGCGCGATTTTTTTTCTAAACCAAATACATTTTCTTAGTAAATGGTTTTTAACAGAAAAAATATCTAATACATAAATTGAAAAAATATGCTTTGATTACATAATAAGTAATAAGTTTAATGACTATAGTTATAGTCAGTACTATAACCAGAAATTTAGTCAGAAAAGATTTTTTTTTGGATTTTAATACTGTATATTTTAAGTGTCAATTGTTAAAATATCTACTATATTTAATATTTGAAAATAATTTAACACTATACTCTGTTTCAAAAAAGAATACCCATCATTAGCACATCGCAACTGGTAGCTGCGACGAAACCAGACCTCGATTTCCTCTACTTATGCCTCTTCCAAAGCAGACGTTATTGCAACGACCCAATACAAACAGAGCATAGTATTATTAAAAAAACTAATATCCATATAATCGATAACAAACTAAATTATTTTTAACTAGTCTGATCAAGTATTGTACTTAATTTAAACCATTTTAAAAAATGAAAAAGCCAAAAACTTAACAGATTAAAAACATAATTTTTTAAATTTATTTTATGTATTACCTTTTTTAGCAATGGTCTTTTTTAAATCTTTATCATCTAAATTGGATCTCTTTGAATCAGAACTCCACACCTGGTTTTGTAAATTTGAAAAATGTTTAAGAAATTAGTAAATAAAAATAAACAAAATAATTTAGTAAAAGTTATTAAATAGAATACCTACAATGATACTTACACTATATAAACCACCTGCAAGGACAAGTGTTCCTCCGAGCAGCAATAAGTTACGATACTTATTATTAGTACTATATCCTTGAGTCTAAATAATATACCAAGAATATTACAAATTTATAAAAAAATACAATTGTTTATGCATATATTTGTTAGTAACATTACATTATTAGTTGTCACACAAGCTTTCAGCGGTTTTTCTTTACATTCAGTATTTATAATTTCTTTTATAGGTAATGCAGCAGGCAGACAATTATTTTTCACTTTTTTTGATAATTTTTTTTTAATAGGTTTAACAACCTAAAAGGATTCAATATTATATAAATATGTCAAATTTTTTATATTTATTTATAATTTATAAATATACAAATTGTAAATAAATACAAATTTAATTAGTTTCTAAAAATCAAATTTTAATTTTTAAAATTCTGTTTTATGATACATTAAAAATATTAACAATTTAATAAATAAATAAAATATTACTGTGTAACATAAATAATATAAATTAATTGTAGATACTAAGTACTTCAAAATACAATTAGGTAACAATAAAATACTAAAATACATTAATGTTTAATTTTAATTAATATATGTATTGTTTCTATTCAGCAAGATAATATTAGTAATAGCTTGTAATATTAGTATCTAAAGCAATTTTGAAAACTATTCATAGGCACAACTAGACCTACATTTTAGGGGATACCAAAACTATGTATACCTGACTAATCAAAATTCTAACCTTCAATTTTCAAACTATTAGATATAATATAAAACATTTGAAAACAAAAATGAGAACATTATTAAAATTTTATGCATATAATCAAGGATTGGGGCTTGAATTTTGGGGAATGATAATTTTGAGTTTGGGGATGCTAAAGTCCCCTTTGCACCCTCCTAGTTGCGCCAATGAAACTATTAAGTTTTAATTAACATTTAACAGGTTAGTCAAAGAACTCAAGTTAAGTTAGTTACCATATTTAATGAGTTACAAATACAATAATATGAAGTTGATGTTTTTTAATTATTTCTATAACAAGACTCAAGACATACCTGTATTAAAGGTGAAGGTTTAGATTTATTACTTTTACCACCTCCGTTTTTTTGGTCACTGTACTTCCTTATACTACTTTCCCAGGCAGTAATAAGCCTGTAACCTATGAAAATTGGATTCCAATAAATAATAATTTTGAAATAATTTTAATGTTAATATACTAACTTGCCGGAACCGGTGGCTTTATTAGTCTGAGTTTAGAAAGCATACTGATATTTCAATAATTGTATAAATTATCTACTTTTTTAACAGATTAACTAACTAATTTGTATGATTTGAATTAAAATAATCGGAATTATTTGGAAAACAAAAGTATTTAATTAATATCGCTAATTTGAATGTTTGCTAAAATATTTTAAAAAATGGTATTCAATAAGTTTTTTTTCTGAAACGACATTCGATCTACAAAAATATTTAAGATAAATCGTGATCTACAATAACAATTAATAGTCGTTTCGGCGACAAAATGTGTTCGATGGAAAATTAGGGTTCTTATCACTTGGCCCGAATGACATTTTTCATGGAAAAGATAATATTGATGCATCCAATAAAAAAATATAATTTCTCTACAAAAATTTAAATTAGTCCATTTTTTAATTTATTGCTTGTATTTTTTTAAAAATAATCATTTTTAAAAATTATATAATTAAAATTATTATAATGATTATGATGATAGTAGTATGTTAATGTATAAGAATAAGAAATAATACTAAACATTTCTATATGTCCTCCGCTCGTTTCTTAAAAACCTAGTCAAAGAATAAAGGTGGAAAGCTATTGTGTTATTTTTCCTAATAAACATTTGTAAACATATGGAGAACTTGAATTATCATAAAACCTAATATCTAATTCATCTATATAATTTATAATCTGTTTTTATCTACACAGACTGGTTTTATAAAACTAAACTTTATTAACGTAATTTATGATTATATTATACAGATACAAACGATGGTATTTATATGTTTTTTGGCGGATATCAAAACTTACAAATGCATTTGATGCATTAAGCATTATAATATATAATATAGGTATTATTATGTACATGTATGTGTGGCACATATGTTGTAAATATTAAACATATTATCTTCTTCGACCTAATCTATTTATGTAGGGTCACATTGTCGCCACCTTTTTCTCAACATTATTGTATTTATCTAAGTACTCTTAACTCCACATATTTTCTGCTTGAATGTCTTCTTTTAAATTCGTCTGGCCTCTAAATTATTTTAACCTATCTTACCGATAGAATGTTCTAAAATCTTTTTTATGCACAGAATATTTTAATTATTACATCCATAAAATATAAAATGAGGCGTGAAATAAGAGTTTCGGGAAACCGGAAATAAATAGCATTTATACCAAGAGGGTTAATAATGTAATTTATGAATTTTAATAATCTATCTAGGAACGACTCTTCAAGAAAAAAAACGATAACTGTAGTAGGATTTGAAGGTTGAGTTAATTGTAAGTGTATGTTCTAAGTAGTGCATACGAGTTAAAGATTTATATTCTATTGTTTTATCTAATGTACATTATGTGTTTTGATTTATTTTTTCTACCATCTACCATATAGTACAATATGATTTATGACTTTTTTTAGGCGTTATAACTTATTACAAGTCTGTATTTCTTATCACATATTATCATTATTTGGAAGAACTTAGCTCTTGGAATTATACAACACGCTTTCTTATCACTTACAGTAAACACTAAACATTATATAGATACTAATAAGTAAAAACGAATGGTAACGTAGTTTTAAAATCGTAGTTGTTTTTAAAATTATAGACCTAATACCTATAAAAATAATTTCGTTAATTTTCCATTTGTATTATTATTTTGAGTTATATAGACATTATTTTTTTATCTCGGTAGTTTTTTAAGTTAAAAATGGACGTAGACTCTGATTCAGACTCATCTTCTTCTGGAGGTTCTAACGACGAAGAGTATGAAAAATTTAAACAAGACGAACTGAAGAAGAAAGTAGATATTTTGGAAAATAAAGTTAGTTCCATTAAAGAAATACTTAACATTTCTTAAAAACTGATTTGGTAATGTTATGCTGTTGCACAAAATTACCACTAAATGTAAAAAACAGCTACTTATAAAATTTAACCAGTAATGTAATAGTATAGGAGCTGAACATTATAGAACACTAAAACAGCATGGTTTACAATTTTAATAAAGCTAAACATTCCTAATTTCCTTCGTACTTAATATTTCAAATGCATTAGTTTAATCCTCTCCTCTTACCTCTTAAATGGCACCATAGTATTGGTAATACTGAAAATCTAAAACTCTTTGAACACTGTAATACTTTTGAGTATGCATAATCTGTTTTACTCATTACATGATGGTTAAAGAAGAAAAAAATCAATTATAAAACCCTAGTAGCATGACATTATACAGACATAACATACCTACTTTTGAAAATAATGTTATTAAAAAAATAATGACTATTTTACAAAATGTTTTTGTATGCTAAATGTTTTTGATAATTTCAAGTTTTTTTAAATTATGTCATTGTCTACATATCGTTGAATTTTGCTGTTTTTATTGTCTGTTTGAAATCCATCAAGGACTGAAAAACGTGTTAGACAAAAAATGTTGGGAACAAATATATATTACCATCCCATTAAGATTTTTAAATTTGAAGCTTCGATGTAGAGCTGAGAATGTACTTTTTATTTGTTTTTGAATACCAAATACGATGGTGAAGTCAGATTTCTTCAGTTACTCTAATTTTCAGTTTAAAAAAAAATTAACTTTTAAAATTTTTAAAAAAATGTAATATTTTATGAAAACTTAATTAAAAATAAAAAAAATCATATTTAATTAGTTTAGTGTGCATATCTGTATACTTAACATTGTGGTTAAGAAAGAAATTCAATATCATACTTACTTTTAAAGTTATAACCAGATTTGGGACTTTTAAACTTAGAATATTTTTTGTTTGCATTAAATAAACATGATCACGGGGTACTTTTTTTTAGATTCTAAGTAATCCTTCAGATTATGATGCACATATTGAACTAATAGCAGTTCTTCGAGAGGCTAAGGATTTGGAAGAAATACGTAAGGCTAGAATACGTTTACATGAAAAGTATCCTTTAAGCTCAAGTGTGTATTTTACTTACTTTATGTAGTGAGTAATTATTGTTGTACTTATGTATGTTTTTTTTTAGATTTGTGGTTAGATTGGATAAAAGATGAAATTTCTATTGCGACTACTGATGAAGAAAAAAGGCATGTAACTGATTTGTGTGAAAAAGGAGTGAAAGATTATCTAAGTAAAACATTTTATTTGTAGAATTATTATTATTTTTGTAATATGTTATATATTTTTATTTGATTGATTAATTAAGAGGACATTATACCGCTATTTTAAAGTGTAAAATCTTTACTAAATATCATGTGTTTTACTGGGTAAAAACCTATTATAAAAATTGAATGAGTTAACTTTTTCAATTGAAAGTATATCTGCTTTGATTCCTACCAACTGCGAAACAAAGTTAGTTAATTCCATCACACAAAAAGTTTATTAAATTATTGGACTTTCTTAGTTATGCATTTTTTTTTTAATACTGCATTTACATTCTAGTAAAACCATAATCATAAAATTATAAATTTATATTTGTATACAAGTTAGATTCCAAAAAGTTTTTCCCACTGCATCAAAAAATGTTGAATAAGTTTTAATAGTTTAAGTCTTTAAATAATTATACTATTCAAAATTTATTTTGATTGTTACCTGCAGGTATAGATTTGTGGTTAGAATATGTACAATTTAGTATTGGATGCATGACTGATAATGCTGGAACAGATACTATAAGACAATTGATGGAAAAAGCATTAGCAGCTGGAGGTCTTCACGTGCCAAACGGCAATGTTCTTTGGGAAGTTTATATTGTATTTGAAAAACTAATTTTGGCATCTTTAAAGGTATAATATACATTTACACAAGTACTTTGGATTAAAGTTAGGCAATGTTAAAAAGAAAAATAACATGGTGACATTTTTTTCTATTTTCATAATATTTCTTTTTGTTTTTATTTTAGGAAAGTACTGATGAAAAGTCTATAAATGAACAAAAACGTTGTGTTAACAATTTGTATCGTCGGCAATTATCTGTTCCTCTGTTTGACATGGAACATACCTATGCTGAATACAAACAGTGGTTAGTTGAAGAAAATATAGAAGAAGACAAAGCCGTGGAGGATGGTTATAAACGAGCACTAAGCAAATTACAAAAAATTCAAGTTTTTGAAGATAATTTGGTGAGTAACAATCTTTAGGAATCAATTACTTATTATTTAAAAATTTAGTTTTAATAATAACATCTAATAATTTACAGTTATCAAAAGAAGCTAAAGATCGTTTAAATCCTTATTTGGAGTATATAAGTTGGGAAAAAAATCCTAAAGAAGGAGGTAACAAACCAAATAGAATAATTTGTTTGTTTGAACGTGCAGTGGCAGATCTCCCATTAGAACAATCTCTTTGGACTGACTATGTAGATTATGTAGCTTTTACAATTAAAGAAGCAGATACTATATTAAATATTTGTAAGAGATCAGTAGCCAATTGTCCGTGGTCTGTAATCCTTTGGTGTACATATTTAATTCAAGCTGAAGCTAACAGTTTAGCTCATGATGAAATCACTGGTAAATTTGTTACTTGTTTTTTTTTATTTACTTAAACCATTTTTTATAATAACATAGCATCTATATATATATATATAACAGCTATCATGGAAAAGGCATTATGTTCATGGTTTAGCTCAGCAGCTGATTACCGGTCTTTATATTTAACATATATATACTATTTGAGGCGACGTCTTAATTGTACAGATCCTGAAACTAAAGTGAAACGAATTCAAGATGTAAGATTAATGTTGGAACATGCTCAAAAATATCTTATTCAAGGTACTACATATTGAATAAGCCAAATTTCTAAAATATCAAACGTTTTTTGAAACATTTTGATTGATTTTGAAGGGTATGGATATGAAGGAGATCCATCTTGTGAGTTGCTTTTATGGTGGACAGATTTCGAAGCAATTATAACTGGGGACATGGAACGTGTGCGGAATATGTGGAATGACATTTTAAATGCTGGACATAACCATTCATCTTCATATTGGATAAAATATCTTAATTTAGAAATGTAATATAAATATTGTATATTAATTAATATTATAATTAAAATATTTCTCCAACATAATTTTTATGTGGGTTTTTAGGCAATTTGGAGATCAAAAACACGTAAGAAAACTGTTTACGAGAGCTTTAATGACAAACACAGATTCGCCAGAGACGATAGGTATGGAATGGATCAAGTATGAGTCTTTACACGGAGATTTAGACAGTTTATTAAATTGTCAAGACAAGTTTAAATCCAAGTAAGTAATATAAAAATGCATTACTTGTTATATATTTAAAGTAAATTATATAATTTAAAATAAAGATACTAAATCTTTTCTTTATTCAAAAAATATAAATTTATTAAAAATGTGTTACTATGTTTTTATTTATCTTGGGACTACAATAATTATATTCTCATGACAGTTGTTATACAGGGTACAGCAAAACGGTTGCCCTGATTTTAGATGTAATAAAAACTAAACTAAATAAGAGAAAGAAAGAAACTTTTTTTTTAGTAATTATTATGCCATTTTGAAATGTTCTGTTTTGAAAATCACATTACTAGATGGTCGTTACTGCAGTAGACGGACCTATCAAATTCGGAGTCATTATACAGTTTAATTTCTTTATCTTGTTTGGATAGGTTTTTATTCATATCCAAAATCGGGGCAACCAAGGATCTTAAATAATATTGGTATTTAAATAAATATCTTCATTTTTGTTATAATTACCAATTAAAATATTTATAGTTGAGTTTGATAAATTATATTATAAATATATAACAATATAAGCGATGTTTAGTATAGAAAAAAAGAAATTAAACATAATAATCGACTGTGTTAATGATAAATGATAGACAATAAACATTTTACATTATAACAAACTGGCGAGTAAATAAAATTAAAAAATGTATGAATCAATTTTTAATATAGAATGAAGCAAGTACAAGACATTCGAGTAAAAGAACAAACAGAAAATAAAGGAGGACCTAAGGAGAAAGAAGCTAAAAAGAGAAAAGTAATATTATTTTTTTATAAATGTGTTATTAAACACATTGTTTTAATTCTTTATTTTTTAAGTGGGAAGAGAAAGAACCCAAAAAACCTCATGAAGATAATTCAAATGGAAACTTTAAAGTGCCTTACAATAAAAAAGAAGTAAATGATTTAGGACCATCACCTGTTAAAAAATCTAAACCAGGTATTAAATATTATAATTTCAACTTTATAAATTTGCATAGAATTATAAATTAGGCACAAAGGTAAACTATAGAGCTAGTGTAGCTGCTATATGCATTCCGTGTTAATATTATATTATGTTTATATTTCCTTTCTTGGTTTAATTTTGTCGTTTGTTTAGTACTATTTTTATCTGATAAGCTTTTATGGTTTATTTACAAATATAGAAGCTCCCATTCACATGATAACATAGGTGACTATAGATTATTATTATGGGATTTCCAATAACTTGTAGTTACAATTTTTTTTATCTTGCTTTATTCTGTTGATTTTAAACATTCATAAAATATAAAGTTCTTTAAATTTTGTGTCAATCATGAGGAAAATATTAAAAAGAATGGGTAAACACATTCAGTAGTCATAATTAGGATAGTATTAATTATATTTTTTTATTTGTTTAAACATGAATATAATTTTTAATTTAGCGGAAATCACCCTGGAAAAAGGTGGACGTCATTTCGAGATAGAAGGCAAAGAAGATCGTGCAGTGTTTGTAAGCAATTTGGACTTTGCTGTGACTGAACTAGATGTTAAAGATGCTTTTTCATCAGTCGGACACTGTGAAGTGTTGTTAGTAAAAGATTTTAAGAATCGTTCCAAAGGATTTGGCTATGTGCTGTTTGAAAGACCGGTTAGTGTATTATATAAAGATGAATAATTTTGGTAGTAACACTATAATTTCATAACATAGGAAATAGTAGCAAAAGCATTAGAACAAGATCGTGTACTAGTAAACAATCGTCCAATGTTTGTGTCTAAATGTCATCCTGATAAGCAAAGTAGAGCAACAGGGCTACGGTTTCCTACTCAACTTGAAAAAAATAAGTTGTTTATTAAAGGTAAGTTGACATCAATTGAAGTAATTTAATATTTATACTGGCTGTTGTGTTATAGAAAAATTTAATCTTAAAAATGTATATTCTGTTTACATAAAAACAAATATCTTAATAATTATTTTTAATAATCTAAAATCGGATAGCTGGATAATTGATTATCCATTATTATTTTCGAATCACTATAGGCAATGTTCAAAATTACCTATTAAATAATCGAATACAATCATTTAATAACAAAAGAAATAATGTTTTCAGGTTTGCCTTACAGCAGCACAAAAACCGACGTAGAAAATATGTTTAAAGAATATGGAGCCTTAAAAGATGTCCGTATTGTAACATTTAGAAATGGACATTCAAAAGGATTGGCATATGTTGATTTTGAAGATGAGGTGACAAAAATAAAATATCCCCAATAACTAATTGTATTTAAAAATAAATGTTAAGTAATAATAAATTTAAATTTTTTTATGAAGGTTTCTGCTGCAAATGCACTTCTTAAAACTGACAATATGGTAATTGACGGTAAAACAATATCAGTAGCCTTGAGTCAACCACCAGAACGTAAAATCACAGAAAAAAAGTTGTATCCACCAGTTGCTAGATTCAAGTCACAATCATTAAATTCATCACTTGGACCGTATGTTAACTGTTACTAATTATTTAACATAATTACATTTTTTTCTACAATTCTATAACATGTTGTATTTGTTTTAGTCGAGAGCATGCCCGTACAAAGTTGTCTCTAATGCCAGCCGTTCTACAAAAGAAGTCATTACAAATAACATCTACTTCAACATCGAGTACTTGTCCTGAAAAAGCAGCCTTAAGTAATGATGATTTTAGAAAAATGCTTCTAGGCAGTAAATAAATATTTATAATTACTTGATTTCTATTACTCTTTACAAATATAAAAAATAAAATTAGAATTTTTTACCTCTATTTTTTAAGAAAAAAAATATTTCAAATAGTAAAGTACCTATAATAATATAATATGTTATAATTATCTAAGAAGCGTTGTGTTTAAATTATATTTTCTAATTGCTTGCAGAGAAAGGTATGTTATAGATTTTTTCTCTGCTATTCCCTTATACTAAATATTAACAAACAAAAAGGTTTTTATTGACAAGCCTTTTTGCCAATTGCGTAAATGTTACCTTTCCATCGATTCCGTTTTTAAACTACACACCCTACTACAAATATGTCAGAATATTTTTAAGAGAGAAGTGTTAGTGAAACGAAATTTGTTTGATACTGCTATAAATTCTTCTTACAAACTTTTACCAAAATAAGTATTTTTATTTAACTTTTTGGTGGTTTAAATAAAATATTTCTATATGAACGTGTTAAAGCTTTCGTGGATTGATATATCATTTGAAAGAGTTACGGATATATCCACGTCCCTAGTTATATGCCGATGTTTCGGACTCTGCATAGATCTCTGCAGATTTTTTTATTGGTTATTACAAAAATGTACTGTTGAGCAGCAGTCGACTCCGTGTGTCGGACAATTCTTATGAATTCTGTATAATTTTAAAGATAAACTTTTTTACTTAAAAAAAAAATGATAAAATGTTAAATATTAAAAATGAATAAACAATTATATTTATTGGAATTCCACATACACATGAAATGTCCAACTGCACTTAAAAATGGTCGAGTCCAAAAAAATCGTTGAGTCCAAAATTTACATTTTACTCATGAATTAATAAAAATAATTTTTCCCAGGTTTCAAAATTCTTGCTTTTAAATAAACCCCTACATTAAATTATTACTTAAAATGATTCTACTAAAAGAGTAAGACATAAAATTTCATTTGGCTATAATAAATTTCAATTTATTTATTCTATTTCGATAAATAACTTAAATATAATTTTCAATCAGTTGCCCTTATAGCACAATTTAATTCTAAACACCTTGTAATTAATAGGTTTGTAGTAATTAATTTAATAAAAATAATAATTATAAAATATAAATATATACCTAATAATATTGTACACAATAAGTTGTCTTAATAATTAAATATTTACAATTTTATAATTTAACACTGTAGTAAGAACAAAACTAACTCTTAGTCCTAAGTGTATAATCACAATAATAACATGTGAAACAGACAGAAATGTCTAGACACTAGTAGAGGATGGATGACCTTTCATTTAGATATAATTAGACTAAATTGTCCGGCACACCTTTGAAACCGATAGTAGTTTTTTTGAGCCTTGGCGGAGGCACAGGCTGTTCGTCGTTCTTTTCGTCTTTACCGGTTCGCAAACATGTCGACGAGGTTTCGGCTATTCTCCTCCACCACGATTTGATGGTATCGCCGGCATGGTAGAAGTACCAGTACACGAATACGAACACCACCATGATGAAGCCCAACGATAACAATATAATGGATATGACGAATACGACCACGTTGAACCCAGAAGCTTGCGGTTTGTATTTTTCCGGTCCGTCTGGTATTTCGTTGGTGTCCACAGATTCCTCTTCCGTGCTGGTGGTCATCGACGTCGTGGTGGACTTCACGGTGACGATCTCCGGCGTCGGGTACGGCGAAGTGTCCACAGTGCCGTCCCTGTCGGAAACTGACACGTCGGCGCACGCCCTAAACTCTTCTTGTGGCCCACACCCTACGGACCCGGTACCGTTAGCGCACACTCCCCAGTTGTTGCCGGCCACGTACTTCCACTGCAACACGCATTGGCTGCACGTCAGACCCTCCGGCAGCGAGTACCGCATTTCGTAAACCTTGTTCTCGGTGCCCGGATAAAACCGGGTCTCGTGGAACGTGTCGTCCGCATCCTTGGTCTTCACCCGCCGTAGCACGTACTTGTCCAGGCACGCCTGGCTGGCCACCTGTTTGGGCGCGTTGTTCGGGCACAATCTGAACTCGAAGTAACCGCGGTGGTTGGCGGTCAGCTCGACGCGCACAATGAACGGCTGGCCGATTTTGTAACGTCGCACGATAACTCCTTGGCCGTATTTGCCACCAGCTTCGTGCGGTCTCGGCTGCAAATAACATCAGAATAATCTTTGAAAACAGATCGGTACAATAAAGAATAAGAGAAAAACGGGTCTGATAACTTTAAAATATGTATAAAACCATTGCTCCGTTATTGTAAAAACAAATAACAACTAATTTTTAATGTGAAGCCCGCCCAGGCGCCCACACTACCAGGTTTGTCAGGTACCAGTTATATTACTACCAGATATATTTTGAGAACCACGGGATAGTTTTGCATTTTAATGAAAAATTAATTCGATGCCAATTTCTACCCGGGTTGTCTACTCAGGATCCCCCATCTTTTCCTGTACAGGTTAGGAATTTAGTCTTACTTGAGGGGCGTCCCACGGGTCGCCGCATATACCGCACTTGCCGCCATTCACTTGGTACTGTTTAGTGAAGCCTCCGCAATACAGTTCGTGATCATTGTAATTCGGTGGCGTGCTGAAGCCATACCTAGTTTTTTTTTTTTTTAGTAATGAAGCAACATTAGAAACAAATGACTTAAATGTTATTTTATTTTTCTTTACCTCCACATGGACGACCTGGAAGGCGGTTCGATGAGTCGGCCGTGACCGTCGGTTTCTCTGTACTCGGACGCCCATAGGATCAAGCCGACAATCAGTTTTGGTCCGAGAAGCATGGTGATCTGTGAAATAACAGTAGTAGTAACGTTTAGAAATTGCGGTCAAACGACGGGAGTTTTTGTTTTATCATTATTATTTGAAGACGAGAGAAAAATATTCTCCCGAGAAGTTTTTATTGACATAATAATAAAATCAAAACGACACCACGCGGGGATCCGACCGGATTAAACAGATTAAAGGACATCCCGTTAAAACGAGAATATACTCAAACAATATAAATATCCAACACAATATACTATATAGTGCCTGTGTTGTATGACAAATCAAAACAGCAGCTGTAAAAACAAATAATAGGTTATAGGTATACCTTTGTATTAAGCACTCGACTGTTGAGTTTTTTTTTTTTTGTTTACAAAGGAAACTTTCAGATTACGGTGTATAATAATTAGATTCAAGAATCGATTGATAATTTTGTTTTTTTTTTATAATTTTTACTATTATTAATATTTTGTAACGTCTCAATTAACATTATTGGATCTCGTGTTGCGTGCGACATCACGCGGCGGCATGTCGACTGTCTGCGGGTCGTCTGAGTATAGAAATTTGCAAATTTATCATTATATTTTTTGTGCAATTTTTAAAACTTTACTGGCTTACACGGACAAAGCGTCATCATGACACCGATTCTTTTTACACTGAATAACGACTCCGCGATTATTGTAAAGAACAGTTTTGATCTAGATTTTGCCGCGTTACCAACGATTGCTGTGGCGAGGTTACTATAATTAACAATACAATTATTTTTTGTGTATGATGATAATAATATAAGAATCAAATTGGTTAAATTTATATGAATTTTCGCGTCAACTCCTAACGTAGTTATGTAATGTTAACCGTTATAATTGAATAACACTTTGTTTAAATTCAAACCAACGAGCCAAGCATGAAAAAAAAAGAGCAACAAATTAATGATGCGCCCGAAACGCGGGACCAAGTTCACATATCTTATTATAATGAGAATAGTTTTTTTTTCTTTTACTAAAGTTAGCCTGTGCGTTTCCAGTATTTTTTACACGCATAATTATTACTTTCGGGCAATTTCTCTTAGTTTTAAAAAAAATGTATTTATTATTTAACTGTTAACTGTCCATTGTATCCATACACTTACGTTGCAGTCGCTTATAGCTTTGGCTTATTGTAAGTAGATACATTGTACATAATATTATATTCTTTGCTCGCAGGACAGAGGACTAGTGTCTACTGGGCGTTATGAAATATGATGTGTTTTGTGTAGGTAAATATATAGTAATATTATGATCTTGGCCGGCGACACTTTCTCATCCATGTGACGGTTTTTCTATAAAACGTCTTGAAAACCAATCAGCATCAAAGTAACCGTTCAAATCGTCCGGATTCTTTTTATCCTCTTATTAAACGACGACGTATAACTTGTTATGCATACCGTAACTCATACAGATCCACTCAGTACAAAAGGATGTAGATACAAAATATATAAAATGTAAATGACTGAGCATAAAAAACGGTATTGTATACACCTAGCCGATGACTGTAGTTGAAGCCTACCTATGTAATTCGTATATCTTTTAAAGGCGTACAATAATGTTCATCCTATGTGAAATTTCGTTTTAATCGCCGGGAGTACAATACCGTTGTGTAAAGTCTGTTAAGACGTTGGGTTTAATCGAACAATAATCGGATATCTTTTGGCAGGTAAAAAAATCAAGGTACATGCAAAAATGAATTCCGTGCAATTACAGTCGTGTTCCGTCATAAAACGCCAAGAATATATATTTTGATAACTTTTCATATCGATCATAATAATTATTGAACTATTATATTATACACCGTTTAGTTCCTTTACATAACATTACATAACAATCGAGCGTATTTTGTCGGTTTCCGTTCCGTTTCAAAAAAAAAATCGGTTGATACGTTTACTCGGAATAGATTTTTCAGTACAACCGTAGACATTTAATTTGTATAAAATATTCCATGCAAGCAAATATACGAGAAGACAAAATAGACAACTGCTACAGTCTACGAACTAAAACAGCTAACTAATTTACTAATTATTAATTTAACAAACGTTTAAATTCAAAATCTGCTCTATTAAAATTGTTTTATCGCGTTTAAGTGTAATAGTTTTTTAAAATTTTGTTATACAAATATTAACCATTTATTAAGAAAATAGATACATATGAAAATAGTTATGGTTTTAGGCTATAGAGAAATTAACGCTACAAAATGAAATGTTTTACATTTAAGGCTTTTTGGTGTTTTATGTTTATGTAAAAAGAAATCGTTTGAATTTCAATAGGTATTCCTTAACTCGTATGTCTTCTGTTAAATCAATAATATTAATTACTTACATTGACTGAACGTAAAATATTATTTTTAATATATTTTAGATTTAATTCGTACTTTGACGCCCGTTACAGCTATGTCACCAAACCTTTCCTATCGTGACATGATCTGTTGTGCCTTTTTCTCATATTTTTATGTTTTATATAGGAATAACTGTAGTTTAAAAAATACAATTTTTTTAACTTCTAAGTTAAAGCTTCGCCCTTCTCAACAATCGTTAATCTAGAAGAATTTTGCGATTTTTTATTTGGTCATGGTAAGTTTTTTATTAGCTCTCTCTTAAAGCTCCCACGTAAAAAACCCGAACTTAACATACATACAATTAATTAACGTTATTTATGATGTCCGTTTATTATGTATATTATGTCGAAACGAATGTTGTACATCACAAGTATGTTTGAATTTTGCTTTTGGATGCTTTCTGTTAACTGTATGGGCTGAACGTTCGTTGTCGTGATGTACCTATGTGTGCCTATTTAGTTTTGTTCACAGTGCCGATGACACTTAACATCTGTCAACCGTACTAACCATATGATTGTGAATGTGATACCCACACATGTATATATACATAACGTGTGCACTATTTTTTCTTTTTAGTAGGACATATTATTCTTGTACAATAATAAAAACATGTTTTTATTGTGTAACGACCAATGACAGCCTTAGATGGATCTGTGTAGGCCTAAAAAAAGCATCTATAATACATTATAATATCTATTAAAAAATGTAAAAAATTACATCGTTCTGTTGCGTGTATTTCAGTGTTTTGATGTAATATTAAATATAAGCACCTAAAAGTCATTTGTGATTACAAAAATGTATTATTTAAACGCAGTAAAAAAATCCATAAAGGTACCCGCGTAATCTCTTATACACCGCGTGTTCCATCGGATATCATTTTATCACCGTAGAAGACATGTCTACGCCTTAATAATAACTCAATTGTGCCCGTTGGAACATTTAAACAATATTTTTGATATTTTTTCCAAATTAAATCAGATAATTCATTTTTTGGTAATATAATTTTTAATTTATTGAAAATGTATAAATACAAAGAATTAAAATCAGTAGTTAACTATTACAGTAGTCAAATAAATTGTTTGTCATTTTTTTTTTTTTTTATAAAATGTTTAAAATTCAATTCTAATTAAAGGATTAAACAATACCACAATATGAACGTGGTTTTTATAATGTTTATAATATAAATTAAGAACCAATGTAAATGTATATTTTGATTTACCATTCTCCTTCAAGTCCCAAGGCGACCAATTGGACCATTAAGCCTAGGTACTCTCTGTCAAAAAAAAAAACTTACAAAAATAAATAACATTTTGAGTCACATTTTTTTATTTGACGCTTCTCGTTACTCATTAGTCATTAGTGATAGTGGATGTTGAACTAAATTTACAATACTCTAATTGTAGTGCACATTTTAATGAAACATTCGCAAGTCACATTCGCAGTTTTTTATAGCTATTCCATATAGGTAGGTACTAATTAGTAGTTTCCCTAAACCAGAGTAACCCCTCGAAACAATTATTAGGTCCACCCTAATTACTGTATTGTTGGACGTTGTAAATCATCATTGATTTATTTCCAGAAAATGTAGGTATTAGTACATATTAAAAGAGTTAGTTACATTTTCCATAACTACTGTTCAAAAGCGATGTCCTTCGTGCAATAGTACATAATACAGTGACTTCAGACTTTTAAAAGTAATAAACGTCTTCGCTCTACATCCAGTCAGACATTAAAAAAAAACTATACAAGTACTTCTAACTCCGTCGGTGGTATAGATTTCGCACGGTCATCATGATTATTGAGTACTTATGGGTACTTGTTTCCATTTTTGTTTTTTACCGAGTACCTAGTCATACGTTAAATTTTAACAGACTCATGTGCTCTATTCTAGCCGAGACCGAGTTCAAGACTCAAATGTACACCTATTGCATCGCAGTATATAATGTATTGGTTAGGTTTAAAAAAAAGAGGTTAACTTTTTGTTATATCTATAGAGTGTTTTTTTTTTGTATTATTACAATCGGCAGACGGCAACTATCTAACATCGTATTCTTTTATTGTTATGTATTCAAATATAAAATAAAGTTTACATTTTTTTATCGTTTCAACCACGTATTGAAGTTTTAATTCGAATACAATGCCAGTATATATGGGCAAATGTCGATGTCGACTTGTTATCTATACACGTTCTAACGGTCCACGAATATCTAAACCCAAAGTATGTTATTGTAAGTGCAATTTTACGATATGGCACGCTAACATGAACAATACTTGCATAACTCTGCGGTACAGTTACTGTCCATAATATAAATGAAATTACATTGATGGGACAACGTCCGAAATAAAATAATAACAATACTTCTATCGTATACACTATATATACGCGTCTTCAGACCGTAGCGGTTAGCATGGTTGTCTATTGAACGCGCCGTATTGTTGAGTTTTGGGTCTATTGACTTATTATAGATTCTCTGATATACCACTGATGATACATATAGTTTTTGTCGTTGTTGAGCTTACAGCATTTAGCACTTTTAATTATGGTAATGCGATTTTTGGTTGTGTTTTTAGGTAATATGAAATGTAGACATAATTATGTAGTTTAACTTCAATAATTGTCAATTTGAATAAAGTATATATAGGTTTTATTTTTTAA